CTACAGTGAGCAGCTCTCCCCAGGGACAGCGGGACGGGGGCGGGGTGGGTGGAGCCCAGTGTCCAGGAGGCGGGGCTGCTGTGCAGGGCGTTGGGGCCAAGGCAGCTGAGAGCACGGGGGCCCCTTCTGCTGACACTCAGCCTTCTCCCTTCCCTCAGCGCCCCCCGCGGCCTTTCTCTGCTGCCCTCCCCAAGCCAGGCCCCGCCAGGTCTAAACAGCGTCACCAGGACAACATGCCAAGTCCGCAGAGCTGCCCTGTGTGTTTCCAATTTCCTGGCCATAAAGACTAATTAGGAAGGGTTGCTCCTCCACTACGAAGACTGTTATTAGTTCTTTTTGTTTTGTTTTATAAACCTTTTCCTTCCTCAGATCGGTGATGGGAGCTCGGGGCAAGTCGGCCCCTGCCGCTTCTGTAGGGCCGGGGTGACTCCCTCCCGCTGCTGGGCTCACGAGTGCCGTGATTGCCTGGCCGTGGCCGGCGGACCTGAACTTCACAGGAGAGCCCAAAGCCCTTGGGCAACTGGGAGAGGTGGAGGCCCAGCAGCTCGCCAGTGAGTAGGCTGCTGCAGACATCCAGAACGCAGGAGTCACTCATGCGACGACAGGCTGCACTGTGGCCCAGAGATGGGCCGCCCCAGCACTGGTCCCACACCTGGACTGGGCTGGCTGCTGTGGCCCAAGGCTAAGGAAAGGGAATCACTCCCAGAGGGGAACAGCCTTGATCTTGTCCTCTCAGGCAGGCTTGGGACCTGGGGACTGCTGAGGTCATCCTGTATCCTCCGTCTCGCCATCTAGCAGGGGGACCCTGATGTCCCAACAGGTAGGGTTGGTTGCTTGCTTGGTGTGAAGTGCTTCCTCTAGACACTCCTGTAAAAGGCCCCACAGAAATAACCATCTCCTTTTCCTGCCTGCTCTGCTCTAGTTAGGCAAGCCGTGGTCACCTTCTGCTTGTCTCCAGGCTGACCTTCAGCATCTGTTTTTAGCAGGCTTACTGGGCACATTCACAGCCAAGAGAGCCTCCTCCAGACCACCCTGTAGGTTCCTGGGGCCACAGCTCTGCCACCCTTGGTACCTGCAGACAGAGGGCGAGTCAGCCCTAGCTCCCCTCCTCACCAGCCCTTGTCCTCTCCGGGCCCAGCTGGCGGAGGCACCTTCGCTCCCTGGCAGGCTAAGGAAGGGTGAGACAGGAGAGGTTATCAGCCAGCTTGGCTCCAAGGGTCTGGTGGCAGAGCTTTTTAAACAGAGGGTAATTTCCTGAGATGGCAAAGCTTGTCCTGATCCGGGAGCATATGGGAGCATGGCAGGTTATGGCTCCCAGGGCAAAGTCAGGAACTGCCACCATCTGCTTCAGCAGGGAGAAGAATGTTCCCGGCGGGAGCCCCGAGAGCTGGAGGAGAGAGTGGGTAGCTTAAGCCCTAGCACACTCTCCAAGCTGCCACCCTGTTCCCGGCTGCCTGCCTACCTGCACGGCGGCCTTGGAATTGGGAGCTTGGAGGCTTTCCCTTCTGATTGGCTCGCCTGCTCTGGCCTCCCACCCCGTGAGCTGTGAGTGGCCTGTGTCAGCCCACTTGCCAGCTCCCTGGGCTCGGGGATGAGAAGTCCTAGCTGGCACAGTGCTTGGTGGGGGAGACCCCGGACCAGTGGGCCTCAGCCTCTCGCTCCATAGAGGAGAAAGCAAGCGCCAGGCGAGGGGAGGCCCTGGAGGCAGGACAGGGAGCCAGTCCTGGTTCAAAAGGAGGAGATGTGGCAGGGCGAGGCCTGGGAAGGCTGGAAGTTGTTGTACCCTGTCCAGCTTCTAGGCCAGGGCTGTTTGGTACAGTTGTCTATTTAGCCCTTGAAAAGCATGGGCTTGTGCTGTGCACGTCTGCTCATCTGGGGCTTTTTTTCTTTTTCTTTCTTTTTTTTTTTTTTTAATATAAATACAGTTCAGTGCTGTAAATATATTTTCTCTTCCTTACGATTTTAGTGACGTTTTAATGACATTTTAGTGACATCTTTAGCTTGCTTCACTGTGAGAATACAGTGTATGATACATATTGCACAGAAGATGTATTTGATTGACCATTTCTGTTGCTGGTGAGGCTTCTGGTCAACACCAGGCTGTTAGAGTTAAGTTTGGGGGGAGTCAGAAGTTACCCAGAGATTTTGAACTGCACGTTCACTTAATGTGAGCCACAAATGTGTAAATGCAGGCCACATGTGTAATTTTAAGTTTCCTAGTAGCCACGTTTTAAAAAAGTAAAAAGCAGCAGATGAAACTGATTTTTAGAAGTACATTTCATTTAACACTGTGTATCCAAAATATTGTGGCTTTAATCAAGATAAAAAATTATTGATGAGATATTTTACATCTTCTTTCACACTGAGTCTTTGAAATCCAGTGGCCGAGGCCTTGGGGCAGCCGCGTGAGGCGGTTCAGGTCTCCACGGAGACTCTGTCCGGTCCCAGCCTTCTAAATGACCATTGTCTTTCTCACATATTAAAGCCCTACATCTCACATATTTAAGCCCTACATCTTTTCTTTCTTGTCCCTCCTGAGCTTTGGTCTCGGGGGGTCAGTGTCCTGCCATCTGACTAGGAATGTCTCCGAGACCAGGCCGTTCCTGCCGGAGGCCTGTCAGCCCCTGTCTGGGGAGCTGACGGCTGATTTGACTGTTAGACAGTCACGCCAGGAATTCAATTCTTGTTTTTCTTGCAGTGAATCAGTTAGCCTTAATCTAGGGTGTGTGAGAGCCTCCCGTGGTGCTCATTTATTTCCAGGAGAGCTTCTGCAGACTGGAGACAAAGCTCAACTGTTTCAGATCTCAGCCCGGCTGCCTTTTGCCTCCTGCCGTGGCAGCCCGGGGTCTCCCTCCCTCTCCCCTGTTCAGCTTTGGTTGCTGGGGGAGGCTCCCCCGGCTGCTCCTGCTCCCGGTGCTGGAGTCTTAACATCTTTTCCCTCTGGGCCCCCTTCCGCCAGTGACCACCACCTCCCAGGAAGGGGCCCAGAGTTCTCGGGGAGGCAGGACCGTGGGCTCAGGGCTGCAGTCTCCTGCCTCCCGTCTTGCCTCTCCTGGGCGTTGCCACCACTCATCTAATCTCAAAAATAAGGACGTGAGCTCTGTGGTCGGAGATGAGAGGTCGTCAGCCTGTTCAGGGCTGATTCCTGGCTCCCTCGGTAGTTTAAGCAGTGGCCCCTTTCTGAGGACAGTTGATTGCACACCTGCAAGTAGTGGTTCAAAGAAAATTGTCACCTAGCAGTAACATGGAGGAGGGGCTGGGGCAGGGGCTGCGTGGCCTCTGGGCCTGGTCTTCCATCTCTGGCTCCAGCTCACAACACTGAACTGGGAACGGAGCTTCGGAGACACTCAGCTTCCCTGTTGCTACTGTCAAGGCCCCCTGGTGCCCTCCCCTTCCCCGCTGTACCCCCAGCCTCTCCCCCGCCAGGATGGGTGACTCCTGGGTCCCCTCTCCAGGACCAAGTTCAGTGGCGTGTCCATGAGACTCAGCCAAAAGGGACTCCAGCCTCTTCGTCCCGCTGGGACAACTGGCCAGTCTCGGTTCTCCCCCTGCCCTCTCTAATCGGAGGGATCCGTCCCTACTTCGTCTCTGTTTTCTGCCCTCAGCTGGGCCTGCCAGGTTATCCCTGGGCTCCAAAGCCAGCACAACGGCTTCCCTCCCCTTTGCTACTTGTCCTGCCCGCCCTCCACCAGTGCTGTAATGGTTCCGGGGAGTGGCTCTGGAGCTGTAGAAGGATTCTTCAAGGTGGGCCAGTGAAAGGAGGGCCTGGAAATAGGGAGGCGCCGCAGGGAAGGCAGCTACCAAGATGGCCTCCCTGGCACTCAATGCGGGAAGAGGCCAGTAAACCAGCACCTCTGTCCACTGCCCCATCTGACTCCAGAAGAGCCACCCGGGGCCACTTCTGGGGGACCAAGTGAGGAGAGGCAGGGAGAAAACCCAAGTGCGGTGGGTTCCCAGGGGGCTCAACCAGACCCCAGGCTCAGCAACACCTGGAAGCTGATGCTGGGGGTCCTGGGGCGAGGGGCACCGGGGGCGTCCCAGCCCCTCAGGAGCTGGTCTGAGACTCTTCGGGGGATCCCAGAGCCACAGACAGGGTGACCCTGAGCCAGCCAGGAAGCTCAGGCAGTGGGACTGCAGGGTTGTCTGCGAGTCGACTGTGTGGTGCCCACTTTTAAAAATGGACCTTGTGGGCGCCTGGGTGGCTCAGTGGGTTAAGCCCATGCCTTCGGCTCGGGTCGTGGTCTCAGGGTCCTGGGATCGAGTCCCACATCGGGATCTCTGCTCAGCGGGGAGCCTGCTTCCCTTCCTCTCTCTCTGCCTGCCTCTCTGCCTACTTGTGATCTCTCTCTGTCAAATAAAAAAAAAAAAAAAAAAAAAAAATGGACCTTGTGCCAGTTGTCCGGGCTAAATGCCCCAGGCTGCCCCACAGCGGTGGTGGAGGGCGCAGAGCCGAGGCCAGACGGCCCGGGCCGGGGTGGGGTGAGAGCTGTGGGTGGGGACGTGCCCGATAGCCTGAGAGCCGGGTGCCCTGTGTGCCTGCAGGTGCTTACTAACCCCCAGCCCGAGCTCTGAGGCGGGGCCTCCGTCCCCGAGCATGTGTGAGCACCTGCCTGTCTGCAGCCCTGTCCCTCCCGGGCCGGCTGTTTCCCCGTCTGGGTGTGATCGCGGGTTCCCTCCGGGTGTGTGGGTGTAACAAGTCCAAACCTTCTCTGGGAGTCGGGCAGGCTGGGGCGGCCCGCCCTCTGGGCTGTGCCCTTTCCTCCCAAACTGGTCGTGCAGGAGCAGCGAGTGTGGGCAGTGTGGGGTGCATGCGTGGCAGCCCGGCCCGCGCTCGCGCGCAGCCTCACCTGGGGAGGGGCCTCCCAGAAACTGCCTTCCCTGGGCCTGACCGCCCCACCTCACCAGAGCCCAGCTAAGCAGCCGGGGAGGACACGCGCCTGCCACCCGCCGCCTGCCTGCACAGCCGAGCCCCGCCTGAGCCGGCACCTGCCTTTACGACCATGTTCAAGGGTCTGAGCAAAGGCTCCCAGGGGAAGGGGTCCCCTAAGGGCTCCCCGGCCAAGGGCTCTCCCAAGGGCTCCCCCAGCAAGCACAGCCGGTGAGCGGGGCTGGGGCAGCGGACTGGGGCGGGGGTGGTGCCCGTCCCAGGTGCTCTAGCCTCCTGGAGATGGAAGCCCGGAATTCAGGACCAGCCCAGTGCTGGCATTTAGTGTCCCAAGGCCAAAAGTCTGGGGGTGGTGGGGGCGTGGAATGTCTCCCAAGCCCGGACGGAGTTCCAGCCCTGGCAGGAGGCCAGGGCTGGCGGGGGGCTCGCACACTGTCCAGAGAGCCTGAGGGCCGTGGGTACGGGTGCTCTGCAGGAGACACACTGGATGGGGTGGGGCCAGGGGGCTGGGAGAACGGGGTGCTTGGTTCCCTGTCTGTGACTCTGGCCCTCGAGGCTCTGCTTGGGCTGGGCTGACCCTTGGAACCTGGGCCCTGGGTGGGCAGAGGCCAAGAGGTGGAGGCGGGGAGGCGGGGGAGGACTGTTGCTGGGAGCTGGGGCGGGGTGGGGGGTGCCTGGTGCAGGGAGACGGGGCGGGGGGGCCTGGTGCGGGGGGAGGTGGTGAGGGGTGGCTGATGTAGGGAGGTGGTGGGGGGTGGCTGGTGCGGGGAGGCGAGCCTGTGCTGCAGAGCCCAAGCTGCCACTTTAGTCAAGGCTCTCCCCTCCGGCCGTGAGTTTTGTTACAGTGTTGGGGTGATTCTTGTACCGCGTGGTATGAGGAGAGGGTGATACTGGGAAAGGGGAGGGCCCGCAGGCCAGGACATCCTCAGAGCTTCCCCCTGCTCCCCCAGCTCCCCGCTGGACCCAGCCTGGCCCTCGGCAGCCCCATGGTCCACAGACGACTTGGCTGCTTCCCTCCCGTTCTTGCCTCTCGCTGGCCTCTGCAGGGTGGAGGTGGCAGATGGGAGCGGAGATGAAAGGCTCATTACCTTGATAGGGATCGGATCGGGGCGATGACACGGAGGCTGGGCTTCTGGGCAGACAGGAAAAACAGCAGTTAAGACTCTCACTGGAGTGACCTGTCCTCCCTGGCGCTGCTCGGCCCTGCCCAGGGAAGAGTGTGCTCCTCCAGGAGGCAGCCTTCCCAGGAGGCCTGGCCTGAGGACAGGTTGCCCAGGGGTCAGGACCTGCAGCTCCCTGTCCCCAGGTAGGCTCCTAGCTGGGGGCAGCTGGCAAGTCTGTCCACACAGCCTGGCCGGCTCCGGCTGCGGCCCCCCAAACAGCGCTCTGGTTCCCTGGTGTGCAACCCACTGGTTGAACACATTTATTGAGCACCTACTGTGTGCCAGGACTGTTCTAGGCACTGAGGATGCCACCTTACAGAGAACCGACAGGTCCTTGCCTTCATGGTGCCTGCATTCCATGGGGATAAACCCAGCGCGTGTGGACGCACACTCTAGGCAGGCTGTGCCCTGGATGCCTCCGATGGGTTCATTCTCCAAACACTCGCAGTAGCGCTGCGATGCAGTCAAAACCCAACTTTACAAGTGAGGAACCTTGGGCACAGAGAGTTTAAGTAACTTGCTCAAGGCCACACAGCAGTAGTGCTAGAGAATGAGCAAACCCAGGCTGCTTGGCCACAGAGTTCTTTCAGACTGGGTCTTTACTGGCACTGCCCCTCAGCCTGGGCCAGGGTGGGCGGTGAGTCTGGGGGGTTGGGGTGGGCTCATCCTTTGACCCCAAGTTCAAGGCCCAACTCAGGGAAGCCTTCCCCTTCCCCAGGATTGTAACCACATAGGGTGCTATGCTTATGAGCCTTGGACCACTCTACTTTTATTAGGTCTGTGGGTCCCCAGGCCCCAGAGAGTGAGCTCAGGCACACAGCAGGTCCTGCCTGGAAAGGACCCTGGAGAGTCAGATCAGGCTCATACTCTGCTCCTTGCTGTGTGACCTGGAGCAAGTCAGGTCCTAATCTGGGGCTTAATCTTCAAATCTGGGCATGGTCAGGGTACCCCATCTCTCAGTCTCCCCCCTGCCCAAGTGCTGTGCAGCCCCTCCAAACGGTTGTTAGCCTGGCCGTAAGCAAAGCCCAGGGTGGTGGGGGGAGACAGGCCTGGGGTGGGAGGAGGATGAGGTGGGAGACAGCCAGTCCAACTGCCCCTCCCAAAAGCCCAGCCGTGCTGTCTCGGGTATTAGTGGCTGAGCCATGATTCACTCCCAAGGAAGTGTCAGGGAGCTGGGCGAGGTTGGGAACTCACTGCCAGGATTGTGATGTTGGCCCGCTGCATGGTGCCAGATACACCAGAGACCCCCACTTTCTGAGCCCTCATGTGAGGACAGTGCTCCCCCACCTTCAGGGCCTGGTGTCTCACAGAGTCCCGTACAGAGAGAGACTAGAGCGCCCCAGGTCCTAGACGCCTCCCTCCCAGGCAGTGACACCAGCTGGAGGGCAGGACGGAAGAGGGAGACAAGAGACCCCATGCAGGTGGGACAGAGGGGTCTTTTCCAACCACGCTGGCTCTGTCCTCCCCCACCGGCACCCCAGGGCTGCCACCCAGGAGTTGGCCTTGCTCATCTCCCGCATGCAGGCCAATGCTGACCAGGTGGAGAGGGACATCCTGGAGACGCAGAAGAGACTGCAGCAGGTAAGGCCTCAGGGGCCAGCGGTGGAGTGTGGGGGTGTGGAAGGCCCACTAAAGCCCCTGAGTGCCCACTGGGGGCGGCTAAAGGGGGACAGATAACGCTCATCCTTCCCTGCTCGTTCCCCAAACCTGGTGGGAGAGAGGCCTCAGCTCTCCTTTTCTGTTGGACTCCCAACTCGGGGGCTTAGAGGGGTTTGGGGTGGGGCTTGGGTCTCCCCTGTGTCCCTGCACCCCCCCCCAGAGGTGCCCTGGGCCTGGCCCTCGGCCAGCGCGGGCGCCAAGGTTGGCGGTGCAGCCTGGGGAGCTTAGGGCAGGGCTCAGGCGGGACGTGGTTCCCCGCCTACAGGACCGACTGCACAGTGAGCAGAGCCAGGCCCTGCAGCACCGGCAGGAGGTGGGCCGCAGCCTGAAGGAGGCCGAGGTGCTGCTGAAGGACCTCTTCCTGGATGTGGACAAGGCCCGGCGCCTCAAGCACCCGCAGGCCGAGGAGATCGAGAAGGAGTGAGTGGGCGCAGCCGGGGCCAGGGCTCTAGGACGGAGGCACTGGGGTTCCAGGGGAGCCCCAGGCCCGGCCCTGACCTGCTGGCCCCCTCCTTGCTAGCATCAAGCAGCTGCACGAGCGGGTGACCCAGGAGTGTGCCGAATACCGTGCCCTGTACGAGAAGATGGTGCTGCCGCCCGACGTGGGGCCCAGGGTAGACTGGGCACGCGTGTTGGAGCAGAAACAGGTCAGCGCTGTCCCCTGCGTCGGAGATACCTCCAGGAGCTCAAAGTCACACCTGGCACCATCAGACAGCAAAACCGAGCTGTGTGTCGTCAAGGGGCCTATTGGGGCACTTGCACCTGTGGGAGGGTGTGGGAAGGGAGAGAGCAGAGGAGACAGTGCAGGCAGGGGAGGCTTCCTGCAGGAAGGGGCATATGAAGAGGCCTCAGAGAGGTGGGAGGGCTTAATTAGGCTTCGGGTGAAATGGTGAGGAGAGGACATTCCAGAGGAAGAAACAGAGGCTCCAGCCTGGGGTGTAGCAGGAAACGGGGTGTAGCGGGAAACGGGGTGTAGCGGGAAACGGGGTTTTCTGGGCAGGCGGGCGAAGCCAGGTCATGGGCACCCTGAACGTCAGGTGAGGAACTGTGCTTTGATGTCGAAACAGAAGGGGTGCCATGATGACGATGAAGGGACAGCGGGGAGGGCATGGGCAGAGGAGGGTGTCACAGGGTCCCAGAGCTAGTGAGAGCTTTCTGGGCAGGAGGTGCCGAGGCCAGGGAGGGCAGGAGGCAGGGAAGAGTAGGAAGGTGTTATAGAGGCTGAGTGCTGCGTCCTGGGGACCCGCGGGAGTCAGGGGCCATAGTCACGAAGATGCTCAGGCCTCAGCCCGGGCCACTGGAGAACAAGCACGTCCCCCAGGGCGAGCGGGCTGCCGTTCCCCGAGGCCGCTCAGCTGGCCTGTCCACCCTCTGCCCAAACGACCGATTCCACCCCACACGGGGACGCAGGGAGGACGAGCGCAGGCCTAGCCCGCTGGCTGAGCTGAGCGGTCGGCTCTCCTGCAGAAGCAGGTCTGCGAGGGCCAGTACGGGCCGGGCATGGCAGAGCTGGAGCAGCAGATCGCCGAGCACAACATCCTGCAGAAGGAGATCGAGGCCTACGGGCAGCAGCTCCGGAACCTCATTGGGCCGGTGCGTGACATACAGCCCCACCGGGCCCTGCAGCCCTCCCCCACTTCCCGCATCAGAGCCGGTGTGGCCCAGCGGGCCCTCTGGGGCAAGGGATGCGGGCAGGGGCGAGGTGGGCGCAGGGTGTGTGGGCTGCCCTCTCCCCCGCGCCCCGCCTCTCACTGAGCCTGCTTTGTGCTCCCCCCCCCCGCCCTCCACTGGCCGAGGCAGGACGCGGCTACCATCAGGAGCCAATACCGGGACCTCCTGGTGAGCAGGGGAAGGGCTGGGAGTAGGGCAGACCCGCCTGCCTGCACCCTTGGGGGACACAGCGTCTCTGGGCTCAGGCTGACGGCGTCCCTCTCTACCCCGTCCCCTCCCCGCCCTCCGGAGCACAGAAGGCGGCCTCGTGGCGCGGGCAGAGCCTGGGCAGCCTGTACACGCACCTGCAGGCCTGCACGCGCCAGCTGAGCGCCCTGGCCCAGCAGCAGCAGAGCATCCTGCAGCAGGACTGGAGCGACCTCCTGGCAGACCCCGAGGGCGTCCGGCGGGAGTACGAGGTGGGCGGGGGAGAGTGGGGCTGGGGGGCGAGGGGACAGGGGCTTCCTCCACCTGTCCCCTCCTCACCCATGCTCCCGACTCTCCCCGCCCACCCAGCACTTCAAGCAGCACGAGCTGCTGAGCCAGGAGCAGAGCGTGAACCAGCTGGAGGACGACGGAGAGCGCATGGTGGAGCTGGGCCACCCGGCTGTGGGGCCCATCCAGGTGCGAGGGACAGATCCCGCCCACTGTCCCAGGGACACCGGCCCCCTCCGTCGGTGGGGCTGGGGGTGGGGCTTCCCAGGGAGGCTGCGGAGGGAGGGAGACTGGCCGGGGTCTGGGCAGCGGACTGGGGTGCGGATCAGGGCGGGCGTGGTCCGAGGGCTCGGTGCCGCTGTCCGCAGACCCACCAGGAGGCCCTGAAGATGGAGTGGCAGAACTTTCTGAATCTGTGCATCTGTCAGGAGAGCCAGCTGCAGCACGTGGAAGCCTATCGCCGGGTGAGCCTGCGGGCGGGGGCACGAGCCAGGCAGGGGAGGCTGTGGCAGGCAGCCGCAGGGTCCCGGGCCGGGTACAGAGGGGCCTGGAGAATGCCACACGGTCATATGGCTCCCAGGGAGGGTTGGTTCTTAAGGGGGGAGAAAACAACTTCCTCTTTTTAAGCATACATCACCAATGCACATCCCTGACAGATACACGGCATATCTAGTAGGGTTACAATTTTATAGCGAGATTAATAAGGAAAAGATGTCCCACAATTCTCCTTAGAAGGGATGATCGTGAAGAGGGGGTTGAGAAACATTGACAGAGTGCACAACAGGGACTTCTTTTATTTATTTATTTTTTTGGTAATTTCCACCTAAAATGTTACATAGCTTTGAGAGGGACAAAAGCCAAAGAGTTTTTTTCTTCCTTTTTTTTTTTAAGATTTTATTTATTTATTTGACAGACAGAGATCACAAGTAGGCAGAGAGGCAGGCAGAGAGAGAGAGGGGGAAGCAGGCTCCTTGCTGAGCAGAGAGCCCGATGTGGGGCTCGATCCCAGAACCCTGGGATCATCACCTGAGCCGAAGGCAGAAGCTTTAACCCAGAGACACCCAGGCACCCCCCCCTTTTTTTTTTAAGATTTTATTTATTATTTGACAGAGAGAGACACAGTGAAAGACGGAACACAACAGGGGGAGTAGGAGTGGGAGAAGCAGGCTCCCTGCTGAGCAAGGAGCCTGATGCAGGGCTTGACCGCAGGACCCTGGGATCATGACCCGAGCCAAAGGCAGACGCTTAACGACCGAGCCACCCAGGCACCCCTTTTTCTTCCTTTTTTAAAAAATATTTTCCTACATAACCACAATACCGTTATCACGCCCACGGACAGGAGTTCTGCCGCATCACCCAGCTGCGGGATGGGTGATCCCGGCTTCAGAGCGTGCTTCTGGCTCCCACTCCAGCCCCGACACCCCGGCACCCACCCCCGGCCCCAGCCAGGACCACTGCAGGTGCTGGAGTGAGCAGGAGAGGCCCGCCTCCCCCTGGGCAGGAAGGACAGAAGCCAAGGTGTTTTATAACACTAAATCAAGTTCAGGGAGCCCCAAATCCAGTGGAAAAGGCCCCACGGCCCGGAAAGCCGACAGTTCCGGGGCCAGGGACAATTTGCGTTTAGCTAGCTTGCAGGGTCGGTGGGCAGTGGGCTGCCCCTGACTGTCCAGGACCTCAGTTCCAGGAAGAGGCCGACTCGGTCAGCCAAACCCTGGAAAAGGTGAACTCCAGCCTGGACACCCAGTACAGCCCAGCCCCTGGAGCGCCCCCTGGTGCCCCCACAGAGCTGCTGCAGCAGCTGGAGGTGAGAGGGGCCCCTCCCCCCGCCCAGGCCACCTGCATTTCACTCCAGGGATTGGGGCTGGCCCCTGGGTCTGGGCCTCACCCTTCTCAGGGGCTTAGTTCTGCCCTGAGCGCATCCTGGAGGGCAGAAAAAGGGGGTCTGCTCCAGCAAGAGGGGGTTGCTATGTTACCAGCAACCCCGTCCCCACTCTGGACCTGTTTCCTCACCTGTAATGTGACAGGAACCCCCCAGGAGAGCTCTGAGCCACCCCCCCGCCCCCACTCTAGAGGCCTGAGTGATGCTAGGCAGCCCCTCCACCCCAACCAGCAGATTCTGGAATCCTGGGCCCCCTCGAGGGGCTTCTTTGACTTGCCTGACTTAGAGACCCTGTCTCTGTGAAGACCAGACTCCTGGCTCTGGGAGGGGTGGCACGGGGCAGGCCTCAAGGGCAGCCTGGGACCCCACAGGCAGAGAAGAAGCAGCTGGCTGTCGCAGTGAAGACCATTAAGGACCTGCAGCGGCGGAGCCAGCAGGTGGCACCTCTGCAGCAGCGCAGGAACCCACCCCAGCAGCCCCTGCATGTGGACAGCATCTGCGACTGGGACTCAGGAGAAGTACGGGCTCGGCCCGCCGCAGCCCAGCCCTGCCCCCTCCAGTCCCACCCCCTCCCCTGGGCCCCCAGCCCCACCATTCCCCAGCCCTGCCCGGCCTCTGGCCTGTCCCGCCCCTACCCCATCTTGGCCTTCATTCCTTCCCTATTCCCTGCACTGAGCCTCCATGAGCCCCTCCCCACCTGTCCCCCAGGTGCAGCTGCTGCGGGGTGAGCGGTATTTGCTGATGGACAACACTGACCAGCACACCTGGGTCGTTCAGGGCCCAGGTGGGGAGACCAAACGTGCCCCAGCCGCCTGCTTCTGCATCCCGGCTCCAGACCCTGAAGCCGTGACCAGAGCCTCCAAGTGGGTCTGCCTGGGGCTCCTCAGGGGCAGGAGGCAGGCTGTGGGCCCAGACCAGCTCCTGTGCTGTTTGAGGCCATCGGCTGGCCTCCTCCTGGACCTGTGACTCCTGGAGTGGGGTGGGGAGCTCGGAGAGAGGAGAGACATCCTTCTCTGATCTCCTCCTTGTTCTAGGTTGGCCTCGGAGCTGCAGGCCTTGAAGCAGAGACTGGACACAGTCCAGAGCCACCTGGCGGCCAGCGCTATGCAGCCCTTACAGACTGGCCAGCAGGGTACTGAGGGTTGGCCGGGGACTTGGGGGGTTTGTTGGCCTCTGTCAGGGGGTTGCAATGGACAGGCGGTCATCCTAGATTAGGGACTCCCGCTAGGGGAGTCCAGCTCTTGGGTCGGCAAGCCCCTAGCATTGTCCCTCCCCTGGTTAGGCCCTGCCTTCTGTCCCTCTCCCTTCCTACCCCCCACAGGATGCTCTTGGGGCACCCAGGGGAGAGCTATTCCTCAGGCAGATGGGCCTCGGACCCTCACGGCTCCCTATGCCCCCAGCTCCCACTGGCTCAGCCCCAGCAGACCCACAGGCCCAGAAGCTCCTGACGCAGATGACCCGGCTAGATGGAGACCTGAAGCAGATAGAGAAGCAGGTGCTGGCCTGGGCCCGAGCCCCGCTGAGCCGCGAGACACCCCTGCAGGACCTGGAGGGCCGCATCCAAAGCCACAAGGTGGGTGGGTGAGCGAGGACGGCGGGGAGGAGAAGCAGTCCCGTGCTGGGGGTGTGTGAACTAAGGATGAAGCAAGTGTGAGAGCAGCTGCAGGGACCCAGGGCAAGGAAGGGAGTGGACAGTCCAGGGCTCCAGTCCCGGCTCCTTCACCGACCAGCTCTGTGATGTTGGCAAGTCACTTAACCTCTCTGGGCCTTGGTCTCCTTGTCACCAAAGACACACAATAATACCCAGCTCATCTGAACGAGGTGTGCTAAGACCCCGGAAGGTTCCAGAGCGGCAGGGCCCAGAGTAAAGGCCCTGTAGCCCGCACTGGGGAGGCGTTCTGGTGATGGTCTGAGAGCAGCAAGGAAGCCCGAGTGTCTTCGGGGGGATTTCTCCTGGAGGCAGGTGGGGGCGCCTCCCTGGCCAGGCAGCCGCGTGTAAACGCCATCAGCAAGAACTCCTTCTCCGTCCCTCCCCACGCCTGGGGCGGGGGGTGCAGTTTGGGTTCCGTCCTTCCCAACTGGTGGTTTGGTTTGCGTTTGGTTCCTAAATTTCCCAGTCATGTCCGTACCCATCACCCTACAGCTTGCTATCCCCCCGTCTTGTATGGTGGGGGCGAGGACATTTCCCGGGTCAGGGGCCAGGGTGGGACGAGTGGGAGGTGTTGCCGTTGGTTCTGAGGGAGTCTCGTGGGGAGGAGACGGGGTGGGGGGGAGGCAGGGGCAGAAGGAGGCCAAGGGCAGTAGTAGACACCACCCGGAGGCCCAGTGAGACCGCTGTGCTCGGCAGAGCCGGCACCGATGGCTTTCAGAGCAGATGAGTGGACGACGAGGGACAGAATAACCCTATGTGGACAGAGCTCAGGCTTTGCTGTCTGACCTGGGGCGATGGCACAGGACAGTGACGTTCTGTGCAGCGCACAGCGACATGGGGTCACGCTGCTTCCTCCCATCATTCTTCAGATGAGAAGACTGGGGCTCAGCCAGGCTGACTGGCCCACGGTCATCCACATGGGGACTCTCGGGGCCAGGACTGTCCCCGGGTCTGGGGCCTGCACCCAGGCTCTCCCCCACCACACTCTGAGGCCCGGTGGGCAGGGTCTGGTTGACCCAGCAGGAAGGAGACCTCTGACCCTGTCGCTCCCTGCCCCAGGACACAGCCCAGCGGCTGCAGGGCCTGGGAGTGGAGAAGGAGGCGGCCCAGCGGGAGTGTGAGGCGTTTCTGTCTGCACAGCCCGTGGGCCCCTCTGCCCTGCACCTGCCCGTGGCCCTCAACAGCGTCAAGAACAAGTACAACGACGTGCAGGTTCTCTGCAACCTCTATGGGGAGAAGTGAGTGCTCTGGGAACTGGGGAAGGGGACAGCTGGGTGGCCCTGCTAGGGTGCGGCTGAGGAAGCACCTGACCTTGGGCCCCCTGGAGACAGAGCCAGAGCTGCCCTGGGGCTGGAGCGCCAGATCCAGGACACGGACAGGGTCATCCGAGGCTTCGAGACCACCGTGGCGCAGGAGGCCCCCATCCCCGCCGGCCCGGGCGCCCTGGAGGACAGGGTCAACCAGCTGCAGGTGAGGGGCCGGGTGGCCTCCCGGGGGGATGGGCCAGGGCCTCACCAAGCATTCATGGGCGGGCGGGGTCACACGGCGACTTGTGGATCCCCGAGGGTGCATGGCGTCGTGTCCCCTCCTCTCCCAGCACCTGCGGAGGGAACTGCTGGAACAGCAGGCCTGCGTGCTGGGGCTGCACCGGGAGCTGAAGGCCACTGAGCACGCATGCGGCGCCCTGCGGAACAACTTCCATGAGTTCTGCCAAGACCTGCCTCGCCAGCAGCGCCAGGCGAGGGCCCTCACCGACCGCTACCACGCTGTGGGGGACCAGCTGGACCTGCGGTGAGTGGCTGGGCCACTGGGGCTCGGGGCACGCCCCACAGCGCACAGCGGCGGCCGCCCCTGAGCTGTGTGACCTCGGACTGGTGACTTCGCCTCTCTGAGGCTGGTTCCCTTGACTCTGAAACGGGGTAATAACAGTCTCCCAGGGTAAGCCCACCCACCTCCCTGCCTGAGATGGTCTGGTCCGTCCCTGAACACCCAGCCCCAGCGCAGGTCCAGAGTGAGGGGATCAGCCTGGTGGGTCACTCGGCCCTTCTGACTCATCCCGGGCAGGGAGGCGCCCCCCAGCCCCCTCCGTGCGCCCCTCACCTGTCCACACAGGGCTGCGCTCACCTCTGCTCCGGGCCTCCTCCTCCCGCAGGGAGAAGATGCTGCAGGATGTCCGCCTCACCTACCAGCAGTTCAAGAACTGCAGGGATAACCTGAGCTTCTGGCTGGAGCACCTGCCCCGCGCCCAGGTGCGGCCCGGCGAGGGGCCCAGCCAGATCGCCTACAAGCTGCAGGCACAGAAGGTGAGGAGCTGGGGCTGCCTGGGGGGCGACCTGGGGGGGGCACATGGCCCCCTAGTGGCCAGTGTTCTAAGAGGCCTCAGAGCTCAGACCACAGACCCTCGGGGTGACCACCAACCTCCCACCCCCACTCTAAATGCTCCACCTGGCAAGGCCGTGTCCATCTGGTCTGAGGTGGGCAGTGAGCTCTATGCTCCTGGGGCTTCCAACTCCTACCGCGTCCTTTTCCTCATCCTTGCCAGTCCCCGCTATGTACTGGCCATGAACCAGAGGCTGCGGGTCCGGCCGGCTCTCGAGCCGCCCAGTCTGCCGGGGGAGGCCGGTGCACCACAGGCCATGAGGCTGCCGCGTGCTCTGGTGGAGAGAGAGCCCGCGGCAAGACACATGGGGGCAGGACGAGAGGTCTGGAGGGCAAGGGCCTGGGGCTGCAGGAGGATGACAGTGTCTGGGGCAAGAGTGAGGGGGTGATGTCAGGAGGGCGGCTTGGGACATTCTTAGACCTGCCTGCTGATTAGAAAGCTGAAGAACAAGTGGGACAGAGCAGGGGTTCTCAGAGGGTGGTCCCTGGACCCACAGCACCAGCATCACCGAGACACTTAGACATGCACATTCTTGGGGCCCAGCCAGATCTGCCCAGAGACTCTGGGTGTGGGACGGGGCCTTGCATCTCTGTTTTAACAGGCTCTCTAGGCGGCTGGGAGGCACAGCGCTGGGTGAGAACCTCTGCCTTCTAGAACCTGAGTGGGAGGGGCACTAGGCGGAAGGAAGGGACTCTGCCAAAGCGGAAGGAAGAATTCCTGGAGAGAATCATGCCTGGAAAGGCAGTTTCCCAGGCGACCTCCTGCCTCTGTGGGGCGCTGGCGGCACCCAAGGCCCCTGCAGGGGAGACTGGGTGAGTGCTGTTTGCTGACCTCCCGGACTGTCACTTCCTCCCTGGCAGAGGCGGCAACAGGAGATCCAGGGCCGAGAGCAGGACAGGGCCATGGTGTCCCGCCTCTCCCAGGACCTGCAGGCAGCTCTCCAGGTGAGCACATTCCTTCCTCTCCCCTCCCTCCTTCTGCCAGTCCCCTGCTCTACCACCCCCAGCGGCCGCCACTGACCGTGAGCCTGTCGTCCTTCCCTCCCTGCTCAGGACTATGAGTTGCAGGCAGACACCTACCGCTTCTCCCTGGAGACCACCGAGGCAGGGTCAGCTCCCAAGAGAGCCCGCGTAGCTCCTCTGCAGGAGAGCATCCAGGCGCAGGTGAGATGGGACAGGCCGGTAGGGCTTGGTGTCCCCCCGGCACCAGCTCTGCACCTACTAGGGCTGGAGCAGACCCTGCCCTCCTCTGATCTTCCTTCGGCCTCTCTAGGAGAAGAGCCTGACAAAGGCCTACACGGAGCTCGCGGCTGCCCACCAGCAGCAGCTGCACCAGCTGGAGTTTGCCAGAAAGATGCTGGAGAAGGTATGGCGACAGCAGCCCCTGCGTCCCCTTACCAGGCAGCCTGGGCTGCTCGTTGACCCTTTCCTTTCCTCCTAGCCCTGCAGCCCGCAGCCCCAGGGTCTGAGCGGCTGGTGGCGGGGGCGGGGGAACAGGGGGAGCAGCTCCCCACCTTCTCCCATCATCCCAGCAGCTGGTATCTTCCAGACTGGTATCCATCGCAGAGTCAGGCCCTGGAGAGGTCATTCAGGGCGGTCACAGCTTCACCACTCGGCAGTCCACTGGTGGGGACAGGAGAAAATCCCCACGTCTTCAGCCTTAGGTAGAACTGGCCACAACGGCCACCTAGGTCTCCATGCCTGGGGGACCAGGAGACAGAAGCCCTCTATGACTCTCCAAGTCCGGCTGAGGGACTTGCCAGCTTTCTTCTACCCAGAGGAGCACCCCAGCATTCCCCCAGAGGAGCGTGGGCCCATGTCCAGGAGCCTAAATGGAAGGAGAGGGGAGAATGTCTGGAAAGGAGACCTGTCCTGTTCGCACGTTCTAGTACAAACTCTGCGCAGACACTGCCTTGCATCCTGATGTCGTGGGCCCGAGGGGTCCTCTCAATCCTGCATCCAAACAGCTCGGGTCTGCAGCTCCAGCCCCCGGGACCTACCGGAAGTCTCTGGAAGCAAGGAGGGGTCTCTGATCTCAGGGTGGGGTGGGGCTGGTGGAAATGGGGCTCATCCTCCCCCCCATCTTCCCTTCTTCCTCTCACTCTGCAGAAGGAGCTCAATGAGGATATCCAGGTGACCCATGGCGCACAGCAGGGGTCTTCGGGCCCTGCCCGAGCAGGGAGGGAGTCAGAGGCCCTGAAGTCGCAGCTGGAGGAGGAGAGGAAGCTGGTGGCCCAGGTGCAGCAGCAGCTGCGGGAGCAGAGGGACCAGCTGCTGCAGCTGAGGACACAGCGGCCCGTGGAGAGGCTGGAAGAGAAGGAGGTGGTGGAGTTCTACCGGGACCCCCAGCTGGAGAGCAGCCTGTCCAGGGCTCGGTCCCAGCTGGAGGACGAAGGCAAGAAGCGGGCCGGCCTGCAGGCAGACCTGGAGGCGGTGGCCCAGAAGGTCGTCCAGCTGGAGAGCAAGAGGAGGGACATGCAGCCTCACCTGCTGACCAAGGAGGTCACCCAGATCGAGAGGGACCCCGGTCTGGAGAGCCAGGCGGCCCAGCTCAGCGGCGAGATCCAGCGCCTGCGCGGGGAGAACGCCGCTGTCTCGGCCCGGCTAGAGGCGCTGAAGAAGGAGCTGCTGGCCCTGGAGCAGAAGGCCCCGAACGTGAAGGAGAAGGTCGTGGTGAAGGAAGTGGTCAAGGTGGAGAAGGACCTGGAAATGCTCAAGGCGGCCCAGGCCCTGAGGCGGCAGGTGGAGGAGGACGCGGGGCGGAGGAAGGCGGCAGCCGAGGCGGCGGCCCAGCTGCAGGCTCGCATTGGGGAACTAGAGCGCGCCATCGGTGCCGTGGAGCCCAAGGTGATCGTGAAGGAGGTGAAGACGGTGGAGCAGGACCCGGGCCTTCTGGAAGAGGCGTCCAGGCTGAGGCGCCTCCTGGGGGAGGCCAGGGGCAGGGACACGGCGCTGGCGCAGGAGCTGGAGGACCTGCACGCGAAGTGCAGCGCGTTGGAGAAGCAGAAGCCCAAGGTGCAGCTCCAGGAGCGCGTGCACGAGACCTTCCAGGTGGCCCCGGAGACGCAGCAGGAGATGGCGCGGCTCCGGGCGCAGCTGCAGGAGACGGCGGGCAGGAGGAGCCGCGCCGAGCAGGAGGTGGAGGGGCTGCTGCCCGACCTGGCCGCGCTCCGGGCCCAGAAGCCCACCGTGGAGTACAAGGAGGTGACCCAGGAGGTGGTGAAGCACGAGCGGAGCCCCGAGGTGCTGCGGGAGATCGACCGCCTGAAGGCCCAGCTCAATGAGCTCGTCAACGGCAGTGGGCGGGCCCGGGAGCAGCTCATCCGGCTGCAGGGGGAGCGCGACGAGTGGCGGCGGGAGCGGTCCAAGGTGGAGACCAAGACGGTGAACAAGGAGGTGGTGCGCCACGAGAAGGACCCGGTCCTGGAGAAGGAAGCCGAGCGGCTGCGCCAGGAGGTGCGAGAAGCCGCCCAGAAGCGGCGGGCGGCCGAGGACGCCGTCCACGAGCTGCAGAACAGGTACCTGCTGCTGGAAAGGAGGCGGCCCGAGGAGAAGGTGGTGGTGCAGGAGGTGGTGGTCACCCAGAAGGACCCCAAGCTCCGCGAGGACCACAGCCGGCTGAGCCGCAGCCTGGACGAGGAGGCGGGCCGGCGGAGGCAGCTGGAGCGCGAGGTGCAGCAGCTGCGGGCGGCCGTGCAGGAGCAGGAGAGCCTGCTCAGCTTCCGCGAGGACCGGAGCAAGAAGCTGGCCGCCGAGAGGGAGCTGCGGCAGCTGACCCTCAGGATCCAGGAGCTCGAGAAGCGGCCTCCTGTGGTGCAAGAGAAGATCATCATGGAGGAGGTGGTCAAGCTGGAGAAGGACCCAGCTCTGGAGAAGTCCGCGGAGGCCCTGCGGCAGGACCTGGACCAGGAGAAGACGCAGGTAACAGAGCTGCACCGCGAGTGCAAGAACCTGCAGGTCCAGATCGACGTCCTCCAGACCACCAAGTCGCAAGAGAAGACCATCTACAAGGAGGTGATCAGAGTGGAGAAGGACCGGGTGCTGGAGGGTGAGCGGTCCCGGGCATGGGAGGCGCTCAACAGGGAGCGCGCGGCCCGCCAGAGCCGGGAGGAGGACGTGCGGCACCTCCGGGAGCGGCTGGACCGGGCCGAGGCGCTGGGGCGGACCTGGGCCCGGGAGGAGGCCGAGCTCCACAAGGCCCGGGACCAGGCGGATCAGGAGCGCCGGCAGCTGCGGCAGGAGCTGCGGGAGCTGGAGAGGCAGAAGCAGCAGAAAGTGCTGCAGCTGCAGGAGGAGGCGGAGCTGCTGAACCAGAAGACTGAGAGCGAGCGCCAGAAGGCCGCCCAACGGGGCCAGGAGCTCTCGCAGCTCGAGGCGGCCATCCTCTGTGAGAAGGACCAGATCTACGAGAAGGAGAGGACCCTCCGGGACCTCCATGCCAAGGTGAGCAGGGAGGAGCTCAACCAGGAGACCCAGACGCGCGAGACCAACCTTTCCACCAAGATCTCCATCCTCGAACCTGAGACCGGCAAGGACATGTCCCCGTATGAGGCCTACAAGAGGGGCGTCATCGACCGAGGCCAGTACCTCCAGCTCCAGGAGCTCGAGTGCGACTGGGAGGAGGTCACCACCTCGGGCCCCTGTGGCGAGGAGTCCGTGCTCCTGGACCGCAAGAGCGGGAAGCAGTACTCCATCGAGGCCGCCCTGCGCTGCCGGCGCATCTCCAAGGAGGAGTACCATCTCTACAAGGACGGCCACCTCCCGATCTCCGAGTTTGCGCTGCTCGTGGCCTGGGAGACTAAGCCCTGCTCCTCGCTCTCCATTGGCTCCATCATCTCCAAGTCCCCGCTCGCCTCCCCAGCCCCCCAGGGCCCCGGCTTCTTCTCTCCCAGCGTCTCACTTGGGCTCGCCGATGACAGCTTCCCCATCGCCGGCATCTATGACACAACCACAGACAACAAATGCACCATCAAGACGGCCGTGGCCAAGAACATGCTGGACCCCATCACCGGGCAGAAGCTGCTGGAGGCCCAGGCGGCCACCGGGGGCATCGTGGACCTCCTCAGCCGGGAGCGCTACTCCGTGCACAAGGCTATGGAGAGGGGGCTGATTGATAACTCCTCGACACAGAGGCTGCTCAACGCCCAGAAGGCCTTCACTGGCATCGAGGATCCTGTCACCAAGAAGAGGCTGTCGGTGGGCGAGGCCATCCAGAAGGGCTGGATGCCGCAGGAGAGCGTACTCCCGCACCTGCAGGCGCAGCACCTGACCGGGGGGCTCATCGACCCCAAGAGGACCGGCCGCATCCCTGTCCCCCAGGCCGTGCTCTCCGGAATGATCAGCGAAGAGCTGGCCCAGCTCCTGCGGGAGGAGGCCAGCTACGAGAAGGATTTGACAGACCCCATCTCCAAGGAGCGCATAAGCTACAAGGAGGCCATGGGGCGCTGCCGGAGAGACCCCCTGAGCGGCCTGCTGCTGCTCCCCGCCACGCTGGAGGGGTACCACTGCTACCGCCCCGCCTCGCCCCGGCTGCTGCGCTGCCGGCGCTGAGGGGCCCAAGCAGTCGTGGGGAGCGCGCACGGTGGGGAGGGGGACGCAGGCACCCCTTACCCCAGAGCGCCCAACCCGAGGGGGCGGGCCTTCCCTCTGTCTGATCGCAGTGCTATTACTCAAAAGTTTGTGGTGTTGGGCCCCCTCCCCTAACTCTGATGCCCAGTCCATCCCCAGACCCCGGGATCAGCACAGCTGTTTTTCCTACCCGCCCCCCACCCAGTGCTTCCAATAAACGAATTCTCCCAGCGTCTAGTTCACATCTGGGAATGCAGAATTGATTTGTCTGAGCCATGAGCACAAGGGACAGATGGCTCGGGGTCCTTCCCAGGTGGGATGTGGGCACGCCAACCAGTCCTGCCAAGGGAACAGGTGCTTGCGGGAGAGCATGTTGCCAGGTCATGGGACGATCATGAACAGCCTCTCCCCATCACCTCTGTTCTGGGTCTCTCGGTTCGGGCCAGGAATGCTTTCCAGCCCTCGGTCTACCTACCCCTTGTCAGCAAGTCCCTGGTTACCCCTTGAGGAGAAAAACACTGGAAAACTCAGGAATACATCACTTTTATTTCCTGTTCTTAAAACCAGAGGCAAACGAACGTAAGTATATGCTAAGTACAAGACGACTACTCAGAACTGGCACGCACACCCTCACCCACGCCGCGATCGGGAAAATGTCCTCTCCCTTACCCCGCTTCCTGTTTAACTTGCTTTCTTCCCTGGAATGCAACTCTTCCCCCCAAAACATTTTAAAGCCATAATGACCAGCAGGGGGCACCCTTTCGCTGGGGCAGGGGTGGGGCGGGCGGGTCAGGCTCCATCTTGCTGCCAGTAGCGCAGGCTTAAGGCTCACCCGCTCACCCGGGCGTCTGTTGTTCCAGAGCCCAGGGACACAGTCTCAAACGATCCCCGTCCCCCCGGTGCATGGAGCTTCTGTGCCCCCATCTGGAAACGGCAACGTCAAACCAACCAACAACACGGGAACTTGCTAACCTGTGGGCAGAACTAACTCAAACTCAGCTCTCTGGCGGCCAAGGCCAAACTCAGAGCTTTGCTGTTCTCTTTCTGGGGCAGTGGGTGGGGAGGCAGCAGGGGCAGCGGCTGGAGAGAGGCTGGGAGGCTCGGGCCTTCTCAGCGGCAGAACCGCTCCAGCACGCACTGGTGGGGTGCCGGGGGGGTCCCCGTGGACGAGAAGTATGGATGCACAAGGGCCGCCTTGGCTGAGATCCGCCGGCTGGGGTCGTACTGCAAGAGTTGCTGTGGAGGAAGGAGGAGGCGGAAAGACTGAGCCGTGGGGTGGCCAGGCCGGGAAAGGAGATGATGCCCTCTCCTTGGCGGGCCCCAAGCCCCAGAGCAGCTGCCTTCAAACTAGAACTGCGTTTAACCACGGCCTCCGGGCTCGCCAGCCAGTTCCGGCCACTCCCGGGATCTGGGGCCAAGGAACTAGTTCTAGGCCGACCCGGGAAGTCATCCCTGGCTCTGTAAGACTAGAGGCTGAGTCCGTCCGTCTTCTTCCCACCTGGGGTTCCCTGGCCTCTGTGCCTACTTCTGGTGGAGACCGACTTCTCTCCAGGTACCAGGAAGGAGAGGGCGAAACCTGTCTTGGAAGCATATTAGGACTCTAAGCCCCAGCTAGGCTGTGGAAGGACCCCTTGCCCGGGGGTAGCCGGATGGAGCGCTAAGAGCCTGGGCTGGAAGCATCCGCCTTCCTGCTTACGCTGGGCTGAGACACACATCCCTGGAAAGATGAAAATACTGCCCTGCCTTCTTCTGGCCCAACACCAGATTAAAGAGACAGACGTGGTCCCAAGTCTTTGCGGGCAATGGACGGCTCTGCCTGAGGCCTTCTGGGTAGTCTGGCCTGGGCCAGCCCAGTCGGTCAGGATGGTGCAACAGCATAGGGCAGCTCGGACCGCGGCAGGGGCCCAGACATCAGGAAACAGCCTCACGGGAAGAGCAGCGACTGCGGAAGGAGGCGTGCTCCCCGCTGGCAGAAGCTCACAGAAAAAGGGTAAGTATCAGGCACCTGGGTGACTGAGTTGAGCGTGTGCCTTTGGCTCTGGTCACAATCCCATGGTCCTGGGATCGAGCCTCGTGTTGGGCTCTCTGCTCATCTGGGAGCCTGCTACTCCCTCTCCCCACTGCTCTCTTTCTCTCTCTCTCAAATAAATAAATAAAATCTAAAAAAAAAAAAAAAAAAAGAAGTGGGGGTGCCTGGGTGGCTCGGTGGGTTAAAGCCTCTGCCTTCGGCTCAGGTCATGGTCCCAGGGTCCTGGGATCGAGCCCCACATCGGGCTCTCTGCTCAGCAGGGAGCCTGCTTCCCCCCACCCCTCTCTCTGCCTGCCTCTCTGCCTACTTTATGATCTCTGTCTGTCAAATAAATAAATAAAATCTTTTAAAAAAATAAAAATAAAAATAAAAAAATTTTTTAAAAGGTGGGGGACAAGTATCAGAGCATAAAAACAAAGCTAATCAGAAGAAAGATGTTTTAAAAGGACACGTGAATGCTGGACTTATCCAGGAAGGAGCCTCCGGGTTGAACGATCAAGAGGGACAGGGACAAGCTGGCTATGTTCAGGGTCAGAAAAGAGGCCTGCTGGACTCAGGGGGCCCTGGGGCGACACGGGGCTGGCTGACAGAGACACTTGTGGTGGCGCAGTGGCCGTTCTTGCCCTCCCCTGCCTCCCTCCTGGACCTACCATGAGCAGGTCCTTGCCCTCTGGTTCCAGACTGGGCACGATCTCCTCCAGCCCCTTCCTGGTCCACTTGGGGAAGCTGCCCTTATAGTCGGGCAGCTGGGTGACCCCTGGCCACACGGCTTCACTGGGTGTCCCCAGGGTCCGAAAGATTCGGAAGAGCTGGTCAATCTCAGAGTCACCAGGAAACAGGGCTCTGCGGGTCACCTGAAATGAGGAAGAGGAGGTGTAGGGTCCGGTCCCCCCTCTAATCCTACAGAATCCAACCCCAGATAAGATACTCTTCCCAGGGCTGTGCTAAGAATCCCGGCTTTTTTCTGGAATACGGTTTGCTTCCTTAGTCACGCAGCTAGTCCCAAACACCCGAGGCCACCTCTCACAGGAGAATGGGAGTCCCAGCCCTACCCCAGCAGGCCTCCCTGTGGCCACATCTGTCCCTCCCTCTACCATCTCAGCAAAGATGCAGCCGATACTCCAGACATCCACGGCCGTGGAGTAGAACTTGCTGCCCAAGAGGATCTCGGGGGCGCGATACCAGAGCGTCACCACCTGTGGGGGCGAGAAAGCAGCGCCAGTGGGGCGGCCGAGTGCCCCGGTGATGCCCCTTCAGCTGGCCTCCTCCTCCCGCCTGTGCGGCAGTACCTCGTGGGTGTAGGTGCGAAGGGGCACCCCGAAGGCTCGAGCCAGTCCGAAGTCAGCCAGCTTGATGGCACCCAACTCATTGATGAGCAGATTCTGGGGCTTCAGGTCTCGGTGGATGACCCGATGCGAGTGGCAGAAATTCACGCCCTGCAGCAGCTGGAAGAGGTAGCTCTGCCCGAGCGAGAGCGAGCGGAGCGGGGAGGCAGTGAGCGGAAGCCGGGCCGGCTGGGCGCGGCGTTCTGGGCCGGCTGGGCGCGGCGTTCCGGGCCTCCCACCCGCCTCCCCTCGCTACCTTGACGGAGCGCAGCGGCAGCTCGGAGGCTGGGGCGGAGTCCATGTACTTCTTCAGGTCCTGGCTGAGGAACTCAAACACCAGGTAAAGCTTCTTCTCACTGTGCACCACGTCCAGCAGCCTGGCCGGGGGACACCAGTCACTACGTGGCCCCCCTAGCGGACCCGGCCTCCCCACCTCCTTGCCCACCTCACCTGACGATGTTGGGGTGCTTGAGCTCTTTGAGCAGGGAGATCTCCCTGATGGCCGTGCTTGGGACTCCCTCTGTTTCCCTGCGGGAAAGGAGGGGACGGCAGTGGAGGCTTCTGCCCCGAGGGAGTCCCCGTGTGTTCCGTGTTCCGAAAGAAGGGCCTGGCCCCCAGCAAGAGGGCCCTGGGCCCCTCAGCACGTCCTCACACCACCGGGGACCCTGGGTGAGGCGTGGCTGGGAGGAGGACGGCGAAGGCTGCCCCTGTGTCCCCCCCCCACTGTCCCCCCATGTCCCCTCCACCCTCCACCGCCCCCACCCGCACGTGCCGACGCGGAGCTGAGCGTAAGGCCCTGAGGTGAGGGACAGGGGTCGCCCCCCAGCGGGAGGGGTCTGGTGTCTCAGGGGCCGCGGCGGCACTCACAGATCCAGTCTGATCTTCTTGAGGGCCACAAGCTGCCCGGTCTCCTTGTTCTTGGCCTTATACACCACCCCATAGGTGCCCTCTCCGATCTTCTCTACTTTCTGGAACACATCCATAGCCGCAGAACTGCCCAGGAAACAGAGGGCGCCTGGGGAATTCACCGCCACACCCAGCACCCCTGCTGCCCCTCCGGCCCCCACAGAACACCCTGACCAGCCCCCACCCGGGCCCATGCTCCCCCTGCCCCATCCCCAATCCCCAGGAACCAGCCCAGCCCAGGCCTTCCCCAGCCCAGGCAGGAAAGCGCCTGGCTACGGGGCGCAGGAGGGCCCAAACTTCTCAGCAGGGCCCCTGCCTTGGGCCCAGCCAGGCCTAGCCTCTGGGGGCCAAGGCTTCCCAGAAGGGTGGCCTGGGGGGCTGGAGTCAGCCCCGGGACAGAGGTCAGGGGTCAGGAAGGGTTTCTAGAGCCACAGCCCTGCCCTAGGCCGCACGGCCAGGCTGAGGGGTCATGCCCCAACCTTCTGGGATAGCCCGGCCTCCTCTGAGGGCAGAACTTCAGTGGGGGCAGCCTCCCTGCATCTTGAGCCCACTCCCAGGGCCCACAGGGGGCCCTAGCACCCCTCCCACAAACCCCCGCCCAGAATTCACCAGAAACCCTGTGTTCCAGGGGCCTCACTGCTGGCAGGCTGCCTGCTCCACGGCTCCCCCTCCTGGCCCCCACCGGCGCTGCACCACACGCACACAACGCAAGGTCTCCCCCACTGGGGCCTTTATTCATGAGTACCTTCCAGAATCCTCCATATGCCCCCTTGAGGCTCAGCCCCCAGCACCCCACAGCTCAGCCTCCCACAGGCTCCTGGCCCGGCGTGTGTGTGTGTGTGTGTGTGTGTGTGTGTCTGGAGTGTGTGTGTGTGTGTCTGGAACAATCCAAATAAGCAACCCCTCCTCTTCTCTCAGGCTCCAGAAAAGGGCTGTCACTCTGGGGAAGGTCTGCATCTTCATCTTCTCTGCTCAGGCATCTCTGGTGGGCTTGGTCTCAGGAGCAGACTGGGGGGACGGTTGCCAGGAAGTGCAATTTGCTACTGGCTGCTGTCCCTCTCTTGCTGGTACCGCCTCTGCTCCTGGACAGCTTGCTCTAACAAGGGTAGATTCATTCCTTCCACACAAGTCAGCACCCGGGCCTTCACCACGGACCCTCCATCTGAAAGACACAAGCACAAGGCACTAGCAGGGACTGACCCCCTGTGTCAGCAACGCCCCGGATGCATTCCAGCTGCTTCCCCCGGACTTGCTCTCAGGATGAGCTGGAAGGATGGCATCCGGGATACTGGTAATTTTTCTCTACTTGGGCCTCTGAACAGGGGGCCTGTTGCACACTATTGCATGTGTCTGGAACTTAGGGGACAGCCCGCAAATCCCACTTCTCCACGGAGGAAGGGCCGGACAGCTGTCCCCTCGACCTCTGTCCTTTGTCATCTTAATTCCTGACACCTTCCCTGCCTCGAGTGCACCATCCCACTTCTCCATTTGTACTAGGGGAAGGGTCCCCTTGGCATACTGGGCCCCACTAGCATTGGAAATTGGGGCAAAGAGAACTGCATAATTAGTAAATCCAAGGTGAGAGTTTGGCCTTGTAGGGCCAAGTCACCCCACCCCAGACGAGGGGCTGGGAGGTGCTTCTGGCACATGCTGTGTTGACCTGATGGAAAGACCTGTCAGCGAGCCGGTGATGGCAAGCAGAAAAGACAACTGGGCCTGCCCTGACATGTTTGTTTGTGTTTTCGTTTTTTTTAAAGCAGACTCCACAACTCACAACCCAGAAATGAAGACCTGAACTGAGATCGAGTCATATGCTCAACTGACTGAGCCGCCCAGGTGCCCGGGTTTTTTTTTGTTGTTTTTTTTTTTTCATCCATGTTCTTTATATGCTCTGGTCAGGTCAACAAACACATTCAATGTGCTAGGATAACCTGTTTCCTTTTGATGTGGTTCTGAGATACAGGCTCTTTGGTTAGATAGGTCATGCCTTGCCTTCCTCCTAGTCTAGACCTCTTTTTCTTCCTTCCTTCCTCCCTTTCCTTTCTTTTTATTTATTTATTTATTTAATATTTTATTTATTTTGAGAGAGAGAGAGCACGAGCAGAAGGAGAGGGAGAAGCAGACTCCCTGTTGAGCAGGAAGCCCGATGCAGGACTCGGTCCCAGGACTCTGGGATCATGACCCAAGCTGAAGGAAGACGCTTCACGGACTGAGCCACCCAAGCGCCCTGCACAGAGCTTTCCTTACATGATGCCTATCAGCTCTTTCCTCCTGTCAGCGTGGGAAAACCCTCCCTCCTAGATTTACACTGAGAAACCAAAATGAAACAAATAATCCTAACATTTGTGTGGAACCAGAAAAGACCCCGAAGAAGACGCTACTTAGAGCCGTCTACACACTCAATGCAATCCGTATACTGAGCAACGTATTGTCTCTCTCTGTGAGTGAAAAACATTATTTTTTTAAAGATTTTAATTTATTTATTTGCCACTCTGCTTACTTATGCTGTCAATTAAATAAATAAAATCTTAAAAAAAAAAGAGAGAGAAATAAATAGTGCCACTTTCCTGAAATTTGTGCACACAGTGAGCTGAGGAGGCCAAAAAGGGTGAAGAAATGCCTGCCATGTGAGAAACCCACTGGTTCTTTATTTATTTATTTATTTTTTGACAGACAGATCACAAGCAGAGAGGCAGGCAGAGAGAGAGGAAGGGAAGCAGGCTCCCCGCCAAGCAGAGAGCCCAATGTGGGGCTCGATCCCAGGACCCTGGGATCATGACCTGAGCCGAAGGCAGAGGCTTTAACCCACTGAGCCACCCAGGTGCCCCTTTATTTTTCTTTTTAAGTTTTATTTATTTACGTAATCTCTACACCCCATGTGGGGCTGGAATGCACAACCCCCGAGATCAAGAGCCACATGCTCTTCCAACTAAGCCAGCCAGATGCCCCAGAAAGGTGACTTTAGGTGGCGTCTAGTCTGTCCCCAGAGCTGCTGACCTTGCCACCCGACAGATCTGTGTCTCGTTGACGTTTGTCCCACACTGGACCTAGGACACACGGCAGGTGAGAGCAGCGAACCAGAACACTGCAGGCTGGGGGTGAGCAGTCCCTCCCACGCTCAGCCTACACTCTGCCCCCGTCCCCATCACTGTCTTCCCTTCTGTGTGTCAGCTGCAAACGATGAGCACGTCTTACTGAGAAATTAGAAATTTAGGGGGAAAGCTTTTTTTTTTTTTAAGAAAAAAACACATAGATGGTGATGAAAATAATGAGAAGCAGGCAAGGAGCCAGAGCCCAGGGAGAATGCTGCCTGACCTGAGGCTTGATCATTCGGGTTCAGGTTGGGGGCTGAGGGAGCGGGGGCAAGGTCACCTGGAGGTGTTGCTGCCTGGGACCTCCAGCTGTGTGGCTGCTGATCCACCTGCTTCTCCAGCGTGGCCTTGGGGCAGGGCCGGGTGTTGCTGGCAGCATTCCTGCCGCCCTGCCCTTTCTGGACCCTGGGAGCGATAGGAGCAGCCAGTGATAACATCGTGGCCTGGATTCATTATTTCATCAGGACTTTTAAAGAGGTGACTTCAGACATTTCCTGCGTTTATGCACTATGATTGTTCTCTAAAAAACTTTTCCTCATCAAAAATGTGAGCTGTCCCTGAGCCACAGTCCGTTCAGAAAAAGGCAAGGGAAAGAAGGTTTAGGGCAGCCAGGAGGGAGGAATCAGCCAATTCCAGACCCAAGTTCTCTAATAAATGGCATTTAAAAAAAAAGGGGAGGGGGACAGAACTCACACAGAGACTTGGGGTTTGTTAGCCAAATGCAACAAATGGACTTTGGAGGTGATCTGAACTACCCAAGTTTGAGAAGCCATGGAGGGGAAGGGAGTAAACATGGACAAGGTGTTCGATTCTGTCGAGGGACAGCTGTTTTGTTGGGTATGATGGGTAGTGGTAGAGGCATGGACGTGTTTATGGGGAAATGAAGTGACATCAGATTTGCTCCAAAAGACCCCAGCAAAATAAATAGGTAAATGCAGGCAGCGGAGACTCAGCCAGGCTGACTGTGGGTTCTACCACTCTATTTCTGTGCGCATCTGACTGGAACAGTCAATAGAAAAAGTTACATGTGTTGGACATACAAAGGTTTCTTCCCATTTTTCTCCCCACCACAAGGGATTCTAACTGTCCGCTCCACGTCCTGTTCTTGTCCGGGCCTGCTGCCCCACCTGACTTTCAACCCCTCTCTGTGTCTGCGGTCAGGCCTTAGCATCCCAGACACTGGGCGGTGGGCTCCTGGGAGCTCCCAGGATGCACTGGAGGGCTGGGGGTACAGGAGAAAGCCTCAGGGACCTGGGCTGCAGTCAACATGGAAATCACTTGTGCAAAACCTCTTCTGTACCTGTTCCCACCCCCATTCCTGATGTCTCTCTCAAATCAATACGAAGGCCATAACTCCGTGAGCTTAACCTTAAATAAAGATTCACTTCTATTAAATCAAAGGTAATTAAAATAAGCACCATCTAATAACATTTTTTCTAGCACATTTCATCCAGAGTTAAAAACCATCACCCCTGGGGTGCCTGGGTGGCTCAGTCTTTAAACATCTGCTGTCAGCTCAGGTCATGATCCCAGTGGGAAGCCTGCTTCTCCTTTCCACTCCCCTTACTTGTATTCCCTCTCTTGCTGTCTCTCTCTCTCTCTCTCTGTCAAATAAATAAATAAAATCTTTAAAAATATATAAAATAAAACCATCATGACTGGGGCTCCTGGGTGGCTCAGTCGTTAAGCGTCCGTCTTTGGCTCAGGTCACGATCTCGGGGTCCTGGGATCGAGTCCCTCGTCGGGCTCCCTGCTTGGTAGGAAGCCTGCTTCTCCCTCTCCCACTCCCCATGCTTATATTCCCTCTCTCACTGTGTCTCTCTCTGTCAAGTAAATAAATAAAATCTTAAAAAAAAACCCACCCTGACTTTTGGAAAGGAAGATGGCATGTTTGCATCCTTCTTTTTTTTTTTTTTTTTTAAGATTTTATTTTATTTATTTGACAGAAAGAGATCACAAGTAGGCAGAGAAGCAGGCAGAGAGAGAGGAGGAAGCAGGCTCCCCGCTGAGCAGAGAGCCCGATGCGGGGCTCCATCCCATGACCCTGGAATCATGACCTGAGCTGAAAGCAGAGGCTTTAACCCACTGAGCCACCCAGGCACCCCTATGTTTGCATCCTTCTATAGAGCAATTCTACTTTTAGGAAACGATCATGAAGAAATAATCAGAAAATGGACAAAGACTGTGCATGAGGATATTAACTACAGCATTAAAAAAAATTTTATTTATTTATTTGACAGAGAGAGAGAGACAGCGAGAGAGGAACACAAGCATGGGGAGTGGGAGAGGGAGAAGCAGGTTTCTCGAAGAGCAGGGAGCTCGATGTGGGGCTGGATCCCAGGACCCCGGGATCATAACCTGAGCCGAACGCAGATGCTTAACGACTGTGCCACGTAGGCGCCCTGCAACCTTCAACTCTAAAGATGTTATTTATTTAATTGAGAGATAGAGTGAGAGAGAGAGAGATGAGAGAGCACACAGTGGGAGAAGCAGGTTCCCCACTGATCTGGGAGCCCGACTCGGACTCGATCCCAGGATGCTGGGATCATGACCTGAGCCAAAGGCAGATGCTTAACCGACTGAGCCACCCAGACGCCCCAAGCCTTCAACTTTTGATGCCAGAGAGATACCCCCGGTTGCTGGGATTCCTTCCCTTCTGTTTCTCTTACTCTGACTCCCGAGCCCCCTCCTCTCCTCGCCTGACTTTTCTCATCTATGGAAGAGCAACAGTAAGACTCAGTTTAAGACCAGCTCGGCAAATTCACAAAGACTGAACGCGGAGCACCCTGGTGGCTCAGTGGGTAAAGCCTCTGCCTTCGGCTCAGGTCATGATCCCAGGGCCCTGGGATCAAGCCCCGCATCTGCTCTGCACGGAGCCTGCTTCCCTTCCTCTCTCTCTGCCTGCCTCTCTGCCTGCTTGTGATCTCTCTGTCAAATAAATAAAATAAAGTATTTAAAAAAAAAAAAAGGACTGAAGGCAATGGTGTAGGACCAGGCCTGGCACATGGTCGGCCTTTAGAAATTAATGATTTCGCTCCCCTTGCATGCCCCTAGAGCAGGTCCACGGAGCCTGATCACATCTGTTTCCATGAGTCCTTGAACTTGTGGGCCGATCTAGAAGGGAAGCTAACCCCAGGGAGGGACTCCTGCCCGGTCAGAATCCAGACCCAGTCCTAACGAAGCTGCCCCACCCAGGACCCAGCGTGAAAAGGGAACGTGAAGCCAGGGGCTTACCCTGGTGCTCGAGCTCTCCAAGGACGAGGTACAGGGAGTCCACCTGGGCTTGGAACGGCTCCACCAACTTGGTGCAGACCAGGATCTGGTGCTCGTCAGATCCGCGCTGAGCTTTCAGGGTCGCTCGGGACTGGGTCATGTCATAGAGGAACAACCTGCAGGTCAGCGAAACTGTAATCGATCAGTTCTGTCCACAAACAGCACAAACGCGGAAAGCTCAAAGGGCTCTAGCAAACCCATGGGTCTCTGATCAGAGAAATAAAAATGGAGGCAACAAGTCAGAGAAACTGTTTTCAGTCCAAATTGTGAAGATGGAAATTACATGCATTACAAGGCACCTGCTTATTTTTTTTTTTTTAAGATTTTATTTATTTATTTGACAGTAGGCAGAGAGGCAGGCAGAGAAAGGAGGAAGCAGGTTCCCTGGTGAGCAGAGAGCCCTAGGCGGGGCTCCATCCCAGGACACTGGGATCATGACCCGAGCTGAAGGCAGAGGCTTTAACCCACTGAGCCACCCAGGCGCCCCATAAGGCACCTGCTTAAGGGGTGTTGACAAAAGTATACACAGGTGTAACCAGCACCCCAATTAACATGTGGCCCATTTCGATCGCCCCCAAAAGTTCCCTTGTGCCACTACTCAAGCTCCCCATCTCCCACGCCAGGCAACCGCTGATCTACGGGTTCGTTTTCTCACTCTGGCACCTCATGTACATAGGGGCACAGCAGCACATCCTCTCTCGTGCCAAGCTTCCTTCACTCGCACGGCGGTTTCGAGAGTCACGGTACTGCTGGGTAAATCAGTGCTTTACTCCTTCTATCCCTCAGCAGCAATTCTGTTGAAATGACTGAAAACAGTCTGTGTATCCGTTCGTCAGCTTGTCTGGTTTCCTGCCAGTGTCGGGCTATGATGAATATACCAGCATGAACTTCTGCAGACCAATCTCTTTGCTGACATATATTTTCATTTCTCTTAGGTAAATACCCAGGTGGGATCGCAAAGTCATTCAATCAACCCGTCTGTTCAACTCTAAGAGAAATTGGCGAATTGTTTTTCAAAATGGGTGTGCTACTTTACACTCCCAGCAGCAACACGTGAGGGTTCTAGTGACTCTCCACATCTGGCCAGGACTTTGGTATGGTCAGTCTTTTTAATTTTAGCCGTCCTAGTGTCCTAGCGGGCAGGAAAATACTGTATCGTAGTGGCTGTTGGTTGGTTGGTTGCTTGGTTGGTTTTTAAAAGATTTTATTAATTTGTTTGAGAGAGAGAGAGTGGAAGAAAGACTGGGGTGGGTGAGGGCAGTGGGAGAGGGAGAGGCAGGCTCCTTGCTGAGCAGGGAGCCGCGGGGGCTCGATTCCAGGAATCTGGGATCATGACCTGAGCAGAAGGCAGACGCTTAACCCATGGGTGCCCTTGTTGTGGTTTTAACTTGCACTTCCCTGTGACTAACGATGTTTACCATCTTTTCATATGCTTATTATCATTTGTGTGTGTATATATGTATATATATGTATTTTTAAAGATTCTTATTTATTTATTTAACAGTGAGAGAGGAACACAAGCAGGGGTAGTGGGAGAGGGAGAAGCAGGCTTCCCGCTGAGCAGAGAGCCCGATGCAGGGCTCGGTCCCAGGACCCCGAGATAAAGACCTGAGCCAAAGGCAGATGCTTAACAACTGAGCCACCCACGTGTCCCCCTATATGTGCATTAATTGTCATATGCAAAATTGTTTACTTTTTGGATGACTGCTAGGTGTTATGTAGACTCTCTTTTGTTAAGTGTCTGTTCAAGTCTTTTGCCCTCCTCCTGTTTAAGATTCTGTAACATATGCTTTTCCCCTCTGGTTTTACTTGGGATAACTGAATTACAGCAGACCACACATATTTAAAGGACACACTTTGACACCACATACACTTGAGCAACTGTCCACACAATTGATAATGAACACATTGTTCCCTAGTGCATTTTCACAATCCTCCAATATGCCATACCCAGGCAATCCTTGCAGGTAACTGGCCTGCTTTTTTTTTTTTCCCCACTTTTGAATTTTTTTTTTTTTTTTTTGGCTTTTCCTAAATTTTTTTATAAATGGAGCCATACAACATGTAATTTTTTTTTTTTTGGGGGGCCTGGTTCCTTTCTTTCTTTCTTGTTTTCTAAGACTCTATTTATTTCTTTGTATTTTATTTTATTATTATTATTATTTTAAAGATTTTATTTTTTTAATTAAAAAAATTTTTTTTAAAGATTTTATTTATTTATTTGACAGACAGAGATCACAAGTAGGCAGAGAGGCAGGCAGAGAGAGAGGAGGAAGCAGGCTCCCTGCTGAGCAGAGAGCCCGATGTGGTACTCGATCCCAGGACCCTGAGATCATGACCTGAGCCAAAGGCAAAGGCTTAACCCACTGAGCCCAAAGATTTTATTTTTTTAAAGTGATCTCTACACCCAACGTGCAGCTCGAAATCACAAACCTGAGATCGAGAGTCGCATGTTCTACTGACTGAGCGCGCCGGGCGCCCCATGTTTAAATATGTGTTTAGCTTTTAAAGAAACTGCAGGCTGTTTTCCAAAGTAGTTGTGCCATTTTACATTTCCATGGGGAGGGTCGAGGAGTTACAGCTGCTCCACACCCTCATTGGCTTCTGGTTTCAACAGTCTTTGCAAATTCAGCCAGTCCACTGGGCCTGTACGAGTATCGCTGTGGTGTGAATTTGCACTTCCCTGATGATGCGATACATACCTGGTGTGAACACACACCCATTCACACAGTCACGTACATCCATACACATGAGTGTGTCTAAATTAATCACCAAAAGGTTAGCAGTGGCGGTCCAGAGAGTGGGATTTCCGGTACTTTTGCTTGCTTTCTTCACACTTCTATGGACTATCTTTTTTCCAATGAAAACAAATCCACGTTCTAGCATTTAAAAAATACGTTGACGGGGATGCCCTGTTGGCTCAGTAAGAGGTGCGTGCGACTCTTGATCTTGGGTCGTGAGTTCAAGCCCCACGTTGGGTGTAGAGATAACTTGAAAAAGTAAAACTTAAAAAAAAAAAAAACAATTAGACAAACTTAAAATAACATTTTAATTGTTTTTTTCTGGCAGGCCTGGGGTGTATGTGGGGGGAGGAACGGAAATATCCCCACACCCGATGGAAAAAAAAAAAACGTTCTTACCTGCCAAATGTTCTCAGTGTGCCCCCGTCAGGAACTTGGCCAGCACTGACTTCCCAGGGGAAGTAATAGATCCCAGGTTTGGGCAGCATCGTAAATAGCTGGGATGGATTTCTGAAGATTCCTGAAAAACCAACCAGACCACAGGCTGAGATTAGCCGATACTTGAGAGCAGCGACACCTGAAAGGCTAGTTCCAGGGGTAGTTTAATATTTAAAGATATTTAAGGGCGCATCTGGGTGGCTCTCTACCTGTCAAATAAATAAAATCTTAAAATATATATATATATATTTAAAGATATTTAAGAGTGGTAGTTTAATATTAAACAATTTTTTAAAAAGATTTTATTTATTTATTTGACAGAGACAGAGAAAGCACAAGTAGGCAGAGAAAGACGAGGAAGCAGGCTTCCTGCTGAGCAGAGAGCCTTACTTGGGGCTCGATCCCAGGACCCTGAGACCATGACCCGAGCCAAAGGCAGAGGCTTAACCCACTGAGCCACCCAGGAGTCCCTAAACAATTTTTTTTGATCAGTTACGCATTCACTAATTTAAAAAAGCAAAACAATATAAAAAAGATCTGGGGTGTCCGGGAGGCACAGGCCTTTGGGTGTGGGACTCTTGGGTTTTGGCTTGGGTCATGATCTCAGGTGATGAGATCGAGCCCCAGGTCAGGTTCCTCATTCTGCGTGGAGTCTGCTTGAGACTTTCTCTCTCCCTCTGCCCCATGAGCCCCACCCCCATGCATATGTGTACTTTCTCTCTCAAATAAATAAGTAAACCTTTATTTTTATTTTTTTAAGATTTATTTATTTATTTGAGAGAGAGAGCACATGGAGGGAGAGGGAGAAGCAGACTCCCTACTGAGCAGAGAGCCCGACGTGGGGCTCAATCCTAGGATCCTGGGACCATGACCCGAGCCGAAGACAGAGGCTTTAACTCACTGAGCCACCCAGGCACCCCTCCACTTAATATTTTTTTTAAAGATTTTGTTTATGTATTAGAGAGAGAGAGAGAGAATGAGAACACAAGCAGGGGGAATGGCAAGCAGAGGGAGAAGCAGGCGGGATGTAGGACTCGATCCAGGACCCTGGGATCATGACCTGAGCCGAAGGCAGACACTTAACCCACCAAGCCACCCAGGTGCTCTTTTTTTTTTTTTTCTTAGTAGGCTCCACACCTAGTGTAGAGCCCAGTGTGGGGCCTGAATCAATGACCTGGAGATCGAGACCCAAGCTAAGATCAAGAGTTGGATGCTAAACTGGCTGAACCGCTCAGATGCCCCTACAGGTTTGTTTTCTGAAATCTAAAGCTAAAACTATTTTAAAATAAAAAGTTTATTTAAAAATCAATGAAGGAGCGCCTGGGTGGCTCAGCTGGTTGGGTGTCCAACTTGATCTCAGCTCGGGTCTTGATCGTGGAGATCTTCCGACTGAACCGGCCAGGTGCCCCATCACTGATGAAGAATATGATTCATTCTTTTATTTCTTTATTGTAAAAATTTTTATTTATTTTTTTGAGAGAGAGAGTGCACTTGAGTGGGGAGAGGGGCAGAGGGAGAGGGAGAAGCAGGCTCCCCACCGAGCAGGGAGCCCGATGAGGGGCTCCATTCCAGGACCCTGAGATCATGATCCGAGCCGAAAGCAGAGGCTTAACTCACTGAGCCACTCAGGGACCCCACCCCTGATTTTTTTTTTTTCAAGCAAAAGTTGCTGTGTGTTTATTAAGGCATTTCTGTTAATTTCCATAAGCCCTGCTGGCTCAGTAAATCATTATCCATATATCATCAGACATGCAAGAGAGTTTCTGAAACAATATATCAAGACTGGCTTTTCGGGGCACCTGGGTGGCTCAGTGGGTTAAGCCTCTGCTTTTGGCTCGGGTCATGATCTCCGGATCCTGGGATCGGGCCCCAAATCGGGCCCCGCATCGGGCTCTCTGCTCAGCAGGGAGCCTGCTTCCCCCTCTCTCTCTCTGCCTGCCTCTCTGCCTACTTGTGATCTCTGTCTGTCAAATAAATAAATTTTTAAAATCTTAAAAAAAAAAAAAAGACTGGCTTTTCTTACAGCTTAGCTAGGTTTTAGGTACTGTCTTTGCAAGTCTGAGGAATGGTATAATCTGTACAGTAGAGCTTTGCCCTCTTCATTCCCCAAGACAAAACATCCACTGCTGGGAGAAAAACCCACAGTACGAACAATCGACATAGTCTTCTCTTTTTAACAACTGGGAAATTTGAAAAATACCGTACAGGAAGGAAGGGAAGGATGGCGACCCGATGTGACTGCTTCTTTCATTTTTTTCTGAAGCAATTGCTAAGATTTCTGTAGTAGGACTACAGGTCAGAAAAGTAATACCTGTACCTAAGTTGTGATGGCTTTTATTAGCTTTGGGTTTCCTTCTTGGAGATAAGAATCTTGATTGTGTATGTTTATTACTCTACAATTAGAATAGATTACCAGTTTATTAAAACAAGGACAGAAAGTCAGGAACAGCCAGATAGAAGAGATGCATTGAGCAAGGCATGTGGGAAGGGCCCTGCACCTTCTCTCTCGGATCACACCAGTCTCAGCACCTCGCTCTGTCCACTAACCCTGAGGCAACTGATAAATGATTTTATTTTTTAAAAGATTTTATTTATTTGAGAGAAAGAGCATGATCGGAGGGGGAAAGGAAGAGGGAGAAGGAGGCTCCTCGCTGAGCAGGGAGCCCCACAAAGAGCCCCAGGACCCTGGGATCATGACCTGAGCCAAACACAGATGCTTAACTGGCTGAGCCCCCCAGGCACCTCTCATAAATGTTTTTAAAGCCACAATTCTTTGTTAGTTCATATTGCACAATGAGTCTTCAACACTACAACTAAAAACAAAACAAAACAACCCACTATAACTCAAGTTACACTACAGGATTTGAACTCTGGCCTCAAAAGAGTCTATCTGTCACATGGTTGGGGCAGGACTGGTGGCTCTGTCAGGAAGAGCCTGCCTCCGGGTCAGGTCATGATGGTCCCAGGATCAAGCCACGCATTAGGCTCCCTGCTCCGTGGGAAGCCTGCTTCTCCCTCTCCCACTCCCCCTGCTTGTGTTCCCTCTCCCACTGTTTCTCTGTCAAATAAATAAATAAATAAATAATCTTTAAAAAAAAAATTCTATCACATGGGAAGCATTACAAATTTTATTTATTTATTTATTTTTGAAGATTTTATTATTTATTTGAGAGAGAGACACACAGCGAGAGAGGGAACATAAGCAGGGGGAGTGGGAGGGGAGAAGCAGGCTTCCTGAAGAGCAGGGAGCCAGACGCGGGACTCGATCCCTCGACCCCGAGATCATGACCCGAGCCACCCAGGTGCTGCTTGAACCTAGCTTTTTCAACAAATAAGAGGAAAAAAAAAATTGTAGAGTGGAAAGTTATGCATTAAAAAAGGCTTAGGATTCTTATCAACCAACTGTGACCTGTAGACCTTTGGACCAGGTTTCCTTTGGACCTTGATTTGAACAAACTAACTGTGGAGAGTTTTTTACGAAACATTTGAGTATTGATTTTAATGACTGCAAGAAATGTTTAAAATTTCCAACTGTGATAATGGTATTGGGAGTGTGTTAAAAATAGTTTAAAGAGGGCGCCTGGGTGGCTCAGTGGGTTAAGCCTCTGCCTTCGGCTCAGGTCATGATCTCAGGGTCCTGGGATCGAGTCCTGCATCGGGCTCTCTGCTCGGCGGAGAACCTGCTTCCTCCTCTATCTCTCTCTCTGCCTGCCTCTCTGCCTACTTGTGATCTCTCTGTGAAATAAATAAATAAAATTAAAAAAAAATAGTTTAAAGATACATACTAAAAGTCTTTATGGGTATGATATCAGATTTGCTTCAAGTTAACATGGAGATGGGGGAGGTACAGGGGATAATTATTGGACCTGGGTGAAAAGTAGATGGGGTTTGTTGTATTATCCCTTCTACCTTTGTACATGGTTGAATATTTCCACAATTAATATTTAAAAATGTAAATCAGGTCACAAAACCCCACTGAAAATCGATTAAAGGCTTCCCATGTTAAATTCCTATTAACATTGAAAGTCTCTGTGTTGGCCCACAATGCCACACGGGGTCTGCACCAGCCTACGTCTCGGCTCTCACGTTTGCCATCACCCTTCCTCTGGCTCACCCTCACCCTCGAGACCTCCACACGTGCTTTTCCTCAGACTGGAGCAGTCTTCCCCAGACCTTCACATAACCAGTTCTCTTTCCCTATTTAGGGCCCAGCTCATCCTCCTCCTTCTCAGCAAGGCCGCTGTTCTCCCTATCTAAAGAAGCACGCCCCACTGCTCCCAGTCTCTCTGTCCCCTTAGCTTGATTTCTTTTCTCCACTGTAGTTGACTAAGGAATAGAATTTCAGGGCGTGATTTGTTTACTTGTTTAATGCCTCTGTCTCCCACCAGATTATCGGCTCCGTAAAGACATTATTACTCAGGTATCCCCTGTGCCTAAAACCGTGTCTGGGCATTATTAAATATTTATTTATTTATTTATTTTAAGATTTTACCCATTTATTTGACAGAGATCACAAGCAGGCAGAGAGGCAGGGAGAGAGAGGAGGAAGCAGGCTCCCCGCTGAGAAGAGAGCCCGATGCGGGGCTCCATCCCAGGACTCTGGGACCATGACCTGAGCCGAAGGCAGAGGACCTAATGCACTGAGCGACCAGGCGCCCCTGTTAAATATTTATTGAATAGATGAATATATTCATGAAGAAAACCATCTACCCCCACACTCCGCCCGGACACAGAGAACCCAAACCACACCTTGCTGCCTCCGTTACCCAGGCTTTGCGGTCCCAGGCCTTCATTAGCATTTTGTCTGTTTTACTCCTCTTGACTGTCCAGCCCAGGCAAATGGTTTGACCATTAACAGCCAGTTTGCCTTCTGAGGTTATGAGTTCCCCGGCCTTGATGTTTCCACCAATCTTCTAACATTGTACGGGGTTCTTACCCAATCCTGCACTGAAAGACATACCTTAGACCAAACTTCCAACCCTCAATGAATTCTGGCTTTACTTGCTCTAGACACTGCCAAAGCTTTGCCAGGCAGGGTTTTTCCTTACGTGAGTAGCAACCACCTCACTTTGTCTTACAATGTTGTGTTGGCGGTACCCGGAGAGCAAGCTTTTCGCAAGAGGCCTACAATCTACACACAGCAGCCAAACTCAGTATTTTAATGGGGTGGGCGGGCGGGGGAGGGGGAGCAGGGGGCGGGGCATTAGAAACAATCAGTAACACTGCCTTGCCCCGAAATCTTGAAGTCCGGCGCAAAAAGAAAAATCAGTAATAACGATCTTATCTTCGATCTTGGCTTAGTGCTCCCTTAAATTACACCGGAGGTGAGTGCCTCATTTCTCTTACCCTATTCCCAGGACTGTTCCTAAAAACTGATGCAGTAAATAAGGACGAAGCTCATAGTTTTAAACAGCAGTGGATGGGGCGCCTAGGTGGCACAGCGGGTTAGGCCTCTGCCTTAGGCTGGGGCCGTGGTCTCAGAGTCCTGGGATCGAGCCCCGCGTTGGGCTCTCTGCTCCACGGAGAGCCTGCTTCCCTCCCCCCTCTCTCTGCTTGTGATCTCTGTCAAGCAAATGAATAAAATCTTAAAAAAAATAATAATAATAAATAAAAAATAAAAAGCAGTGGATGACTATCCCGTTTCAAGTTCTAAGGGTGCGCCAGGGAGATAAAGGAGATGGCGTAACGAGCTCATCTTCATTACAGTGGTAGGAACTCAAAAAATAACTAAAATCCAGAGCGAGCACGTATTTTATGTAATCGGAATTAAAAACACAACTGGTTAAAAGCCGCTGCCTCCGAGGATGGGGAGCTTTTGCCTTTCATTACAAATTCCCCGAAACCAGGTTTCCTCAACCTGGACATCTACTGCTTTGACGACAACGGTGGTAACTGTGAAAGCAACGAAGTCTGCATTCCAAGCCGTGTGAGCTGCCCGCTCGGTCCCATTCTGGCCCACACCCACCCCATACGCGGGGAGAAGGGCCCGCACCCCACACCCAGCTCTCCGAAGCCAGCGTTTCTGGCAGCAAGGAGGCGATTATCTTAACACGAGAGAACTGGAGGCCTCTTCCCAGGGCGACTTTTGTCCTCCTCCTCTCTTTTCCCCAGTCCGGGAGGGTCTGGGGAAGCCCTACGCCAACCCTCCCCAGCAACGCCCCGCCCCCCAGAAGTTGAAATCACGCCCACCTGCCCGCCCTCAGGCCTCAGCACCTGGACCCGGAAGCCGCGCGGCCCACGCGGCCCAAGGCGCAGGCGCACTCCTCTTCAGCCGCCTCGTCCCGCCCCTTCCCTACCTCCTCGCCAACCTGTTGGGGAGTCGCTGCGGCCTTTGGGAGCCCCGTTTCCGCCCCGCGCGGTCGCGTGACGAGGAGGGGCGGGTTACCAGGAGCGCCCGGCTGGCCTCACTCCCCGCCCTCGGGGCAATCTCTTGGCGGTCTTCCGGGGTTGCCTCCCCGGGTGGGGGTCTGCTGTTAGGGATCCCGGGAACGAGAGCGGAGGACTCGCCCGCCCCACCGCAGGCTACGGTCGCCGCGCCCACGCCGCCGCCGCCGCCGCCTCCGCCTCCGCCTCCGCCCCCGCCTCCGCCTCCGCCCCCGCCTCCGCCTCCGCCCCCGCCCCCGCCTCCGCCTGGTCCGCGGCGAAGGAGAAGGGGCGGGCCGGGGCGGGGCCTCGCCGGTCCTGGGGCGCTCTTAGGGCCGGGCCCACGCTGCAGCTGCTGATACCCGTCGCCGCCGCCGCCGCCGCCACCTCTTCGACCTCTGCCGCCACCGCCATTGCGTGTCGCCACCATGAACCAAGATCTTCGCAGGGAGCGGGAAGCCGCCAGCTTCAACCCGGAGCTGCTCACGCACGTCCTGGACGGCAGCCCCGAGAACACCCGGCGCCGCCGAGAGATCGGTGAGGGCGGCGGGCCAGGCCTCCCTCCTTCCCCGGGCGCGGCCCCACACTCGCTCGAGGAGGAGTCGGGGGGCGCTGTGGAGCGTGGGCCGCTGCGCCGGCCTCAGCTTTGGGGGAGCCGGGACCCCCACCCCCGGGGCCGGCCTGTTGCGGGTTGAGGGGTGTCGGCCCACCTGCCCGCGCTCGGAAAACCCGCAGGGATTCCAGGAGGCGTCGCGGAGCCCTGCCTCTCGGTCTTCCTCTTGATGCCTTCTCGCCCTCTTCCAGAGAACCTGATTCTGAATGACCCGGACTTCCAGCACGAGGACTTGAATTTCCTCACCCGCAGCCAGCGCTACGAGGTGGCCGTTAGGAAGAGTGCCAACATGGTGAAGAAGATGCGGGAGTTCGGCATCGCGGACCCCAAGGAGATCATGTGGTTTAAAAAGTAGGTATGCCTTCGCCCCGATTAAGTGCCCGAGCGCAAACCTTCATTTAAACGCGCAGCCCGCGGTGTCCTTTTTCATCGTGCTCGACGTCGGACGGCTCAGCCTGCGTATTTGCACCCCACCTGCAAGTGATGTGGGCGAAAACCGGGGTTGGCTTCTGTGTTGAAGCCTTTTAAAGGGATGACGTTGGTAGAATGCTGATCGGGAATGGAGAGGCTGTCGTCTCCGTTCCCAGGAATCAGTACCACTTCCTTTGGCCCAGACATCCCCGTGCGGAGTGATTTAAATTGCAAAATGCCTTTGCTCTTTGTTTTTTTTTTTTGTTTTTTTTTTTTTGTTTTTAAAGATTTTATTTATTTATTTGAGAGAGAGACAGTGAGAGAGAGCATGAGCGAGGAGAAGGTCAGAGGGAGAAGCAGACTCCCCATGGAGCTGGGAGCCCGACGTGGGACTCGATCCCAGCAGCCCGGGATCATGACCTGAGCCGAAGGCAGTCGTCCAACCAGCTGAGCCACCCAGGCGTCCCTGCCTTTGCTATTTGTAGCAAGAAGGTTTGCTAAATTCAGAGGCGGAGTTCGATTTTTGGTTGGAAGATCAAACAGTGTTTTGGAGCAATAACAGATTGCATTTCAGTATGAGCGTATAAAGCTTGAGTTTAGACTGAGGGTCCGTGTGGGGTAGATGAAGAACACGAGTCAAACTTCAGAGCGAATATATAAAGAACCTAGCATTCTTGAATTTGGTGGCCGTGTTATCTAAATGGCTTGTGTTACTTAAATGGCATAGGAGACCTCCTAAAACCATGCCTTGGTACTAATGCTGGAAAGAGCAGTACTTTTTTTTTTCCAGACCATCTGTTTTTTGTTGTGTTATGTTTCTTAATTAGAAGTAAAGCACTTTTTTTTTTCCTTTATCCCAGTGAGCACTAATTACAGAACCGAGTACAAGATTTCTTTGACCTCTGTGCGGTCTTAGACTTGTCATTCATTCCTGGGCACTTCCTTTTTTGGGGAGCTTTTAGCATTTTAGAAGTCCATTATTTTCATCAATAAAGATTAAATGATACAAATGGTGTGTATTCAAGAGCCAAGAAAAAGGGAACATATTACAAGTTTTGCCATTATACAGTGATGGAAATTTCTTCTTTATTCTACTGCCTCTCAGACATTTAGTATCTAATTTTTTCAGTCTAACCCGTTTAGTGTTTGGGGGAATGGAATCATTTACTGTAGCCCTTAGGACTGAGAATTCCTCTCCTTTTTAGTCATAAAATTAGGATTTACTTATTTTCAGAAGTCAGAATCAAAGTTATTTATCAAATTTCAAATGTCCTTTTTTGCTTTTGAAGTTTGTAACTCACTGTGGAGATATTGAGGTAGAGTGCCTCCTGGAAGATTATGTTTCTGACTCACCTGAGTTGGGTTTTAGGTAAACTTCAAAAATGTAAGATTTTACCCTTTTTTAAGCAACCCCCAAAAAAGAGATTTGTTCTGTTTTACTTCTAAGTGGTCGATGCAGTGCGTTTCAGAATTGATGAGATACCGTAGTCAGTGTTGGTTCGTAGTGTGTAAGCAGAGTGGAGTGAAGTAACAAGGAAACAGAGCCTATGCCTTTATGTGGCTTAAAACAGCAGATGACATGACTCGGTTATTTTGCCTGTCATTTTTTATGATACAGAACTTGCTGTTTGGGGATTATAGGGTACAAAGGATTTTTTTGTTTTGTTTCTTTAAAGATTTTACTTACTTATTTGACACAGAGAGAGCAGAAGTAGGGGAAGCAGCAGATAGAGGGAGAGGGAGAAGCAGGCTCCAGGCCTGGCTTGATTCCAGGACACCAGGATCTTGTATGACCAGAGCCCAAGAGAGCCAAGTGGCTCTAGAGTACAAAGTTTAAGACACCTTTTGACATCCTTCCAGTATTTCTAGGATAGGACAGGGAGATCAACTTATGTGAAAGAAGGGGATTGAAAATTAGTCTTGGCAGTTACTAAATGCTATTGAATCCAAGCCCACCATTGACTGTAGCTCACACCCAAGTTTCATGTACCACTGAGAAAGAAAAAGTCAATTAACTATGACCTCCTGTTGTTTGTGAGATGCGCCTGATTTTGTAAATGCTCCGTTGGTGCTGTATTGCCAGAACTGATGAAATATAGTAGTATTTCTCTTTCAAGGGATTTTGAACATTTACTGGTTTCTTTCTTTCTTTCTTTCTTTTTTAAGATTTTATTTATTTATTTGATGGAGAGAGACACGGTGAGAGAGGGACCACAAGCAGGGGTCGTGGGAAAGGGAGAAGCCGACTCCCCTGCTGAGTGAGCAGGGGTCCTGACGTGGGGCTCAATCCCAGGACTCTGGGATCATACCTGAGCCAAAGGCAGATGCTTAATGACTGAGCCACCCAGGCACCCTAAGCATTTACTGGTTTCTTTACGATTATTTTTCATATTTCAAAATTCATATATGGGAATATTTTTTTTAAGATTTTATTTATTTATTTGACAGAGAGATCACAAGTAGGCAGAGAGGCAGGCAGAGAAAGGAGGAAGCAGGCTCCCTGCTGAGCAGAGAGCCCCATGCGGGGCTTGATCCCAGGACCCTCGGATCATGACCTGAGCTGAAGGCAGAGGCTTTAACCCTCTGAGCCACCCAGGTGCCCCCATCTATGGGAATATCTTGAAATTGATGGAAAATTAGTAAGATACTTTTGAGATTTCTCAACTTGAGCAGTAGAAGAATTGTTCTCTCCAGGCCTTGGTGAAAAAAACCTTGCTGTTTGGGGAATGTAAAAATTGTTTTCCTAATCTCCTTTCCCACAATTTTGTCTTTTAATTATCCTGTTTCCTATGAAAAGAAAACTAAAGTAATTTAAAATTCTAATGAAGATCAGCCATGGTTTCTGTTATCCTCCTTAGGTTTTTCATTTCTTAATTTTTCTCTTTTTAAGACTTATTTATTTGTTTGATAGAGAGATGGCTAGAGAGGGAACACAAGCAGGGGTAGTGGGAGAGCAGAAGCAGGCTTCCCGCCAAGCAGAGACCCCAGGGGCTCGATCCCAGGACCGCAGGACCGCAGGATCATGACCTGAGCTAAAGGCAGACGCTTAACAACTGAGCCACCCAGGCGACCCCCTCCTTAGGTTTTTAAAGCCGATTCCTTGAAAAGCATCTTCAGGAGTGATTAAACATAATTTTAAAAACGAGCACTGATATTTTGTTCATGAGTTGATTTTCAAGTATCCTCAAAAAAGAATCTCAGTATGTTTATTAACATAAACATTCAACAGTTTTTGTTTTGTGTTTTTCCCCTGAATTTCTTAGAATTATATTGTGTTGGTATCATGATTTCACATAACCAACCCCACAGCCTCCCTTCCCTTCCGGGGAATAGGAGTGTCTTATGTTGCCCCCATTTTTGGCACCTAAACAACTGTTTCTCTTCCTCAGAAACTCTTGTAAGTTCGTTTCCTCTTTTAGTAAAATGTAATTGTTAGGGAATGCTGTGGGGCTCTTTCCTTTGAGAGAATGACGTCCGCATTTATCTACCCCATCAGGCTTTGAACTCCCACTTCGGTGTGGCGGGCACTGCTTCTCCACTCTCCAGCAGCCGCCAGCTCCTGTTGACTCAAGTCACTTGGAAGCTGACTCACTTCTGTTCACACCCTCCCTCCAGTCACTTTATTTTTTTTTTTTAATAAAGATTTTTATTTATTTATTTGACAGAGAGAGATCACAAGTAGGCAGGGAGGGGGGGGGGGGGGGGGGAGGCAGGCCCCCCGCTGAGCAGAGAGCCTGATGCGGGGCTCGATCCCAGGACCCCGGGATCATGACCTGAGCCGAAGGCCGAAGCTTAACCCACTGAGCCCCCCAGGCGCCCCCCCCCTCCAGTCACTTTAAATTGACATTCAGTATTGATGTAAACATTATGGAACCTCCAGGTTAAAAAGGCGTTTTTGATATTCCTTGGATGCAAGCATTCCTTAGGTGTTTCAGTCTGTCCCCAGCACCCCTAAAAGGTGATCTTCAAGCCTCAAAGTGAATTGGCAGCCTTCCGCCTCCTTTTTTTAAATTCAGGCCTTGCTCACTGGACAGACCACGATAAACTGGTGACACTGCTTCGTATTCATTCCTTTAGCAGTCATGAGGATCGGTTAGGTGCTCCTTACTTGTACTTTGAGCTCTTTATTGAAATAGAACAAAGTAGACCCCAGTAAGACCTTTCACAATGTAGCCAAGGCTG